TGGCTGGGTTTCTTGGGATGGGATGCCTTTGCAATGACTTGACACATGATTGGAGGGGAAATTGCATGCAGAATTTCACGGCACTTTTTTCTCTCCAGAACCCTGGCCTTCCAAGCCCCATCTAACTTCATTGCTCTCTTGTGTCCTCTAATTTTTTTTTTCCTGCTTTGTAGCTGTTCTGAGCTACTAGTTCAGTCTGAATCAGCTACTCCACCATATCCAGAAATGGAAGTCCCCCTTCAGTTTTAATTTTGGAAACATAAGATTAACTGACATTTAAAATTTTATGAAATGGTTTGGGCATACAAAAAGGTATATCGAATAATATAATCAACACCCAGGGTAACTTCAGTCAGTTTCACCCAAGTGTGGAGACCCCTGACCGCTCCCCCAATCCCATTCCCCTCCTTTTTCTACTCTATTCAAAATTTTGATTTTTTTTTTCCTATCATCCCCTACAATTTCTGTATACTTCCAGGACACACATATGTTCATCTAAACAATATAGAGAGCTGTTTCACCCAGTGTTCAGTGTGCCATAGATGGTATTACTATGTGTGTGTTCTTTTATTTTATTTTCACTATGCATTTTGTCGCGAGAGTCATTTGCTTGGCTGTGTGAAACCGTGATTCATTCTCACATGGTGTGATTATCCCCCAGTCGATCTTTCTGTTCTCTTGTTGATGGATACTTAGGTTGTTTCCACTTTTCACTGTTAAGATCAACACTGCTACAAACATTGCTGCGTGTGCTTCTTGAACACACACGCCAGGGTTTCATCAGTGGTTTACATGGGAGTGAAATGGCTGGGTCTTAATGAAGGCACCTGCTCACACTTATCACACCATGCCACACTGTTTTCCAGCCCACTCATTTCCATTCCCACCAGCCGTGAACGAGAGCGCCCATTACACCATGTCCTCAGCAACACGCGATGTTGTCAGACTTTTAGTTTTTGCCCATCGCGTAGAATTAAAACGGCAAGTCATTGTGGTTTTAATTTGCATTTCTTCATCAGCTGTGAATTAAGCACTTGGTGTTCTCCTCCAGCTCCTACTTCAATCTGACTTCCTACCCCCAAGCTCCTTCACTTCCCTCGAATCTCCTGAAATGCGGCTTTTCATCTGAACTGCCACGACCTGTGAAATCGCTCCTTGGCACTGGAGCCTGGCAGAGAACACCTCTCCCCCAGATCCATTCCTGTGCAAGACCGTGCTGGACTGCTTCGCAAGCAATGATGTATTTGGTGCTTCCAACAAATCCGCAGCAGAGTCATGAGCACCATGGTATAGATGAGACCACAGAGAACCAGAGGGGTTAGGAACTTGCCCTTGACTCTTGACTCTTGACTCCTCTGGAGGAGACCACAGAGCTAGGGGCTGCCACAGGGGACCCTGTAGCAGGAAGGTCTTTAGGATACCCTCTGCCCTTCCCGCAGATAGCATACCTGGTGGTTTGGTGTGCACCTGGGGAGAAAGGGCTGTTGCCTTCAGGAGTCAGCCTCCGTGTGAAGACCCACAAAGGGACAGATGCGGGGCTGGGAAAGCGATGGGATGGGATTTCCGGCTCGGTGACTTTACCATTCAAGGCTGCTCTTTCCAGAATTGAGCGGCTTGTTTTAGACAGTGTTCAATATCTCCGCACCCCAAAGAGTTAGATCCTTTTCAGTCTTCTTCCAGTCCTCTGATGCCAGTGAAAATCTCGGTTTGGTGCTAGTTTGCCTCAAACAACCCTTTAATCCCCCTTTTAAATGGACGCAAACTGGATTTCCCAACTTCTCGGTTTTAAGCGGGAGAGAGCATCTCACTCAGACTTGAATATGGCCTTTTGTTTGCCTCCTAGTTTTACAGTTAATCGACCATTTCATTTAAGAAACACAGTATCTATAATCACGTTGGGCGTTGTTCCCAATGCTTTACAAATACTGGCTAATTTACTTCTCCCAAGGACCCCCCCAAGGTGGGCACTGTTACTAGTATGTCCATTTTACAGATGAGGACTCTGAGGCCCAGAAAGGTTAAGTAAACTTCACTGATGTCACACAGCCTGTGAATGGCAGCGCTGGGATTTGAGCTGAAGCAGACTGGCCTGGAGTCTGCCTTTTAACCACTGAAATGCATACAATCTCCCCATTTCATACTAGTTTCCCGTTGATTGTAGGGATATATTTTCTTTTGAGACATGTATATTGGAGTAAACAGGGAAGGCAAGGTAAAGATAAATAGCAAGTAGATGATAGCATCAGTGAAAACCTTGAAGGCAGTAAGTGGCCGGAGTTCTGGAACATTCCAAAGTGGCTTCATGGGTGGAAGGATAGAGCAAAGGGGCCATGAAGACTGGGTTTAGAGGGATGGGGCGGGGGAAGGTATTCAAGGAGAAGACTCAGCACAGGAATTTGCCTCATGCAAAGGCAGAGACGCATGACAGGGCCTCAGGTGCTAGGGGGAGCTGAGTAATTCAGAACAGCTGGCCAGTAACAACAAGAACCCAGCATCCTTGTATAGCACTTTCCGGTTCACAGAGCACAGTCGCATCTGCTTTCCACTGACCCTTCTTAACTGCCAGGTGCAGTGGGCATGATTGTCCCCGTTTTAGAGATGATAACCAAAGTCAGAGAGAAGAAATTCCAGAAAACAAATTTGCTATTTTTTGCTCCAAGCTACTCTGACTTCCAATTCTGGGCCTCTTGCTCTATTCCACTGTATCAGGTAACTTTGGTGGCAAGCAACAGAAACATAATTCACATGGTTGACCAAAATAGGGTGGGTGGTGTTTTTTGGGGGGAATGAGAGGGCTTAGGTAAACGAAAAGTCCAAGTGTGGACATCAGGTACGGCTGGATCCAGGTCCTCAAATAATGCCATGGGGACTCTGGGTCTGTATTTCTCAGCTTTTGAGAAAAGTTCAGGCAAACTGTCCCTAAGAAGTGACAAAGATGTCCACCAGCTTCTAGCAGGCAGCCAAAAAAATACCCCTTTATTGGAGTTCTAGGAAAATGCCCAGACTGTTCTCATTCACCTTGCTTGGGTTGGTGTCCATCCCTGATCTATTCAATGTGGCCAGGCCGGTGGGGAGCTGTCTTGGCTAGGTCTGGGTCAGGTGCTCACCTGAAAATCAGGGGTTCCAGTCCTCTCCACACAGACCACACAGGGACAGCGCCAGTCTGAGAAGCTCTTCCCAAGAGAGGAAGAGATGTCAGGCAGACAGAAGCAGCAGGCGCATCCCCTCTATCCCCAGGCACCTGTGTGTCATATGTGCTGAGCTGAGGAATTTGGACGGATGGAGAGCCTTGAATCTGGGCAAGGGAGTTGGTGCTTTATCTTATGGTCCAGATAGAGCCTCTGGGGAGTGACACAGACAGAGCTATGCCAGGCCTGGTGCTGGGGCGGGGATAAGAGTGTGGACCTGCCCATTGAGGGGCAGATATGAACCGCACCTCCCATGATGGGAGATGAATCCTCGAAGGGTGGTAACAGGACTCCTGCAGGGCTTGGCCAGGAAGATCAGTGTTCCTAAAGCAGATTTAAAAAGCTGTTGCTCCAACATTATTTTATTTTAATGGCGATGTTATTCATTCCAAGGTGTACTGGGGAAAAATATGCAACTATGAATATTATTGCTTAGGATGATGCTGGAGTTGGATTTTTCTAAACGAGCTCATTTATAGAAAATGTTAAACAAATGATTGCACACACACTCTATAGATATGGCCAAAGTTTTGAAAGTGAGAAATTTAGGGACCTCTCGGCTAGATCATTCTGGGGCCCCTCTACGTCTGATGCTTTAAATTGTCTGTCAGTCACAGCCTTTTGTTGAGTGTTTATGTGTCAAGCGCCTTGCCCAGGGTTTTCTGCAAAATGCTTCCTCGAATTCTCACAAGAATCTGCAGGGCTCAGAGAGGGGAAGTGACTGGCCCAGAGCAACACAGCTGGTGATCTGACCTCTCAGGGTGTTTTGCCACTGTTTGCTGGGTGACTTATTAGGGAGCTCAGAGGGAGGGCTCAGTGGGGCCAGAGTAGGTTCTGGGGAAACCTGGGGTGGGGGGTCTTCCCCTTGTGGGCTCAGGGATGGTGTCTGGAAAAAGCCATGCCTGCAACTTGATTCCTGCATGGGGCGTCCCTCTTGGCTCCAGTTCCGATTATGATCCTGCAACCGGGGGCCAGTCTGGGTGGGGTTTCTGGGCCTGGGCAGGTGGATGCCCCACCCCCTGGCCTCTGGCTGGTGCCTCCCCAAGTAGGCACAGAACTGTGGTGCAGTAGGTGTTGCCAGCCTTGGGGGGGGGGGTGGTCACTCCTTTGCCCAAGACACCAGCGTCTGCTCCTCCTGGGTAGACCCCTGACGTTCTCCAAAGAGGGCTCTCCTGCATCTCATCCAGATCAGGAAGTCAAGCTCACCTCCACAGGGACCGGCCTGGGTTCCCCGGATGCTTTCCAGTGTGCTCGCTAACCTGGGCTCTGTGACCGAGCAAGGAGCCTGGTTATTGGGCTAAGCTCATCTTAGGCATCCAGTAGGGGTCTTCTTTGTGGGCCAACCTTGGATCTGTTATTCAGTAAGAAGAGGGGCTAACGTCAACCCTTGTGTTTTGTGGAAAGAAGGACACAGGATCTCTGCTTGTCAAATACCACTTTCTAACCAACTTCCCCTCCCTGCCTCCCTGCCTCTCTCTTTTTCAGATAGGTAAACGCCCTCATTTAATCTCATGCATAAGGCTACATCCGTAGGCTTCCAGGGGTGGGAGAACAGCTATCTCCTCCCTCTTGAAATTCACCTCTCATTCGGGATTGTGTTAGGGGACAGGAAGAAGGTGGGAGAAATGGGGTTCCCAGGGGTGAGTCATCCGCTTCTAAGGGGCAGGAATCTTTGGGAACATCCACGGGCTCCTCCAACTCTTGTTTTTCTGAGGCAAGACTTCCAAGGGAGGGAGAGGACCAGGGGGAGGCTGTTCAGGATCCCTTAGTCCCCAGGCCTGGGTCCGCCTGCTCACTGTCGGTCTCTTCCAGGATCCCGAGAGCCAGCATGCCTTGCGGCTCAGTGGCCTCTCTGCTCCTGCTCCTGCTCCAGGGTGGTGAGTAGCTGCCCCAGGGTGTGTGGGTGGGGATGGGCAGGCTGGCCTGTGTTGCCCCAGGACATGGCTAGAAGCTACAGGCCGGGGCATGTGGCCTCTGTTCACTTGGGGTGGACTAACCAGCTCTCCATCAGTTAGAACCCTTCCCACCAGAGTGCCCTGCGGCTCATGTGACTCCCATGTGGACCAGGCCACCAGCTGTCTTCTTATCTCATTGCAGGCACGAGAAACTTGAGTCTCCCATTTCCACAGCTCTCTGCCTTGGCTGGCCCTCCATTCTCAGAGGGAGGAAGTCCTGCCTTTGGTCTGACCTCAATTTCTCTTCCTGCAATGACTGTTCTAGCAGATGTTTATGGACAATCACAGAATTAGCAGGTCCTGGTGGTCCCCAGCAGGGAGAGGAGAGGGGACGTGGAGACAGAAGTAGCCAAACCTTGAAAGGTGCCCCCAGGGGACCAGAAGGTGTTGGAGTCAGAGAGAGAGAGAAGTTAGAGACCGGAGCTGGGAAAGGCCAGGAGTTAGATGTGGACTCAGAAATCCGGGAGGCCTTCCCAGAGGAGGCAGGACGGAGCCTCTAGGCTCAAATGGGGGTTGGACTAGAGACAGGGGTCCCTCAGCCGCAGCTCTGCTGAATCTGCTTTTCTCTCTGGTTTTTACCGAAAGACCCAGAGCCTCAAATAGCTTCTCCAGGAAACAGATGTCTGGCTCTTTTATTTTCCCCTTCTGAGTGACCAGCACTCTGTCCTGGGTCATCCGCCACGGTGCCATGCCTCGTGGGCACAAAATTCTGCTGCGTCCTGGGTGCCAGGCTTCACCTCAGTCCGCTCCCCCAATGACCCTATGTGGTCTGTGCGGCAGTGACGCCCGGGTCTCCCTTGAGGACACCAAGGCTCAGGGAGGTTAAGGGACAGGCCCACGGCCACACAGCTAGGCAGTGGCGGAACTGGAACCCCAAATTCGCCTCCTTCCTGGAGACTGAGCTGCCTTGCTCTGATGCTTTTACTGAGTGAGTGCTCGGTGCCAGCCACGTGGTCCACACCGGCATGCGGTCACTTACATATCCACCATGCCCTCCAAGGAGCTAGTGTCCCCAGGTTTCAGGGGCTGCTATCCCCTCTCCAATGTTCCATTTCAAGATTGGGGCCAATCTTGTCAAGCCCTTGACCTAGGTACGGCAGCTCCTCCCCCAAGTTCTACAACCCTGAGCTTGAACAACCAGGGTATAAACTGGGGGAATACCTACCCACATATGGCCCCACAGCCCCGGATTTAGGCCCCACCAAAATCAGGCCTCTTTTCTCCACCAAGTGTCTGCACCGGCCTCCTGTGCCCACCAACAGGCACTGTGCTCCCACCTAGGGAAGGCTCCTCCCAGCACAGGAGGAGCCACAACTCAGATCCCTTGGTGGTGGTTGCAGGGAGACCTGTGTTAAGGAGGATTCTGAGGGTCGCCCGAGGGAGAGAGTGCTGTGATCGATTAGTGATGTCTGCTGTGCACGCAGAGCGTAGCACAGATGAGATTTTTCTTTCCTGGGTGCAAGTCTCAGCCGCCCAGACCCAGACGGACAGGAGGCGTGGTCCCATCTCAGAGCCTCTGGGTCCTTGTCTATAAAATGGCAGGGGCAGCCAGCTAAGGATGCTTCCAGCAATGGTCTTCTTGGCTCCGAATCCGGCTTCTGACCTAAAGTGAGGGCCAGGCAGGAAACATACCACCACCCCTCGGTTCTTCATTAGTCAAGGAAAAACAGAACAAAGCCACTAAGAATGCATCCACTTAAAAAGGGGAACAAATTTCTGGTAAAGAGTTGGGAGGGTGGGCGGGGGAGAAAGCGCGTTGGTACTCGATCTTACAGAACAAAACCAAGTTCCAGTTTACTACATTTATTTTGTTGCAAATTTAGAGTATGGTTGCATCTGTATTTTTAGAACAAAGGGGAGCAATTAATGTTGGGGGTGGGAGGGCACAGGGTCTCCCGATGGAACCGCCTGGGTGAGCAGTCCCCATGTCACTTGGCTGGGACGGTGGTGGTTTGGGCAGTAGGCTAATAAGGACATTTTGGCAAAATGGGGTGGAGGGGAGGGAGAGTAGTGAGAGGTGGGGACTGGCTTAGTTTGTCACGTTTGACATTCAGAGCGATCTGTCTGCATAGCCAGCCTTGAAACTTGGGGGTCAGGTGGCAGGGACACCCTTCCCCAAACCCACATCTTAGTGGCCTCATGAGTTGCCATATTCATCCTGGTCCTGGGGACCCATGCATTCACTCATCCTCCGGCACCTTGAAGAGGTGAAGGGGTGAGGCATTGTGCAAACTCCAGCCAGCCCCCCACCACCCCTGCTCCATCGCAGCCTCTCTCTCCCCTAATCTTCTAGCCTGGGGTTGCCTAGACCTCGTCTGCTACACGGATTACTTACAAACAGTCACCTGCACCCTGGAAACCAGGACCCTCCCCCTCGGTGTGCTCACCCTCACATGGTAAGTGGTAGCCGCTGGAGGGCTGGGGTGAAGCAGGACCGCTGGGGACCATAGACCAAGGGGGACCTACTATGGGTCCCACAGATAGTTCAGCAATCGACATAATAGGTCCGCTTCCTGAGGGCTCTCTCAGCAAGTTCACCAACAGCATTTGGTTTTGCCCCAGGAAAGACGGTTTGTTAGTGGGGAGCTGCCCGGCCCCCCTTGCAGACGGCTGTGCCGGGCTCACAGCTCCCGTCCGGAGCTCTGTCCACCTCCAAAGGCCATACTCTCTTGCCCACCCAGCCCCAAAAGTGGGCTTTTTTTTTTTTAAAGGATTTATTTATTCATTTGAGAGAGGAGGGGGGAGAGGGGCAGAGGGAGAGAACCCCAAGCCAACTCTGAGCTAAGCATGGAGCCCAACACGGGGCTCGATCCAATGACCCCAAGACCATGACCTGAGCCGAAACCGAGAGTCGGCCGCTCAGCCGACTGAGCCACCCAGGCACCCCCAGCCCTAGCAGGTTTTGAGACCTGAGGACCGACCAGACTCCCACGCGACTTTTATGAGCACTTCGTACATCCCTGACGCCCTGCCGTGAGCTTCCTATGAACAAATGATCGCTTCCCATCCTCATAATTATTACTCCTGTTTTACAAATGAGGACACTGGGGTTCAAAGAGGTTATACAACTCGCCCCGGGTCACACAGCCAGTGAGTGGTGGAGCTGGGATTCAGACAAGCCTGATTCCAAAGTCCACGGACCCCTGTTCGTTCACAAGTGTTAAAGAACGGTGAGGGGAAGCTTGACTCGGGAACCCTGCCAGAGACGCAGGGACCCTGGTGGGACTTTGCAGTGGGGGGAGAGATTGGGGTCAACCCCAAATACAAGGAAAAGGGGGGATTTAGAGTCAAGGAGCAGGGTGGGGCCAGTGGGTGGAAAATTACCAAAAGGACACGTCACGGGGAAGGGGGAGTGGTTCCGGCTACATGACGTCACAGGGTTCTTGCTGATGGCAGCCCGGGCTGGTCAGACGTCACCTGGAGAAGGAGGTAGAGGACAGAAGAGATGACACAGAAGCCCAAAGGTCAGGGCCTCGTCGAGGAGAGCGCTCAGAGGAGCCCAAGCAGGACTTGTTCAAGGAGAGAACTTTTGTTCCTAAGCTGCTGGGATTAGGAAAAGCCGGCTTTCATCCAGAACACATTTACGGACCTCCTGCCGACACTTGCAGGCACTAGGAGCTCCGCAGAGCCCAAGACCAAGGAGGTTCTCCCAGAAGGTCTGCAGAGGGGAGTGCCTGGGGAGACAGACAATAAGACAGACACAAGCAGCCATCAGGATGCTTTTTGATGACAATGAGTGCTACAAAGAACAGGAACCGGGTCCAAGGGGTCCAGAGGGAGTGACGTGGGGGCAGGTGGTCAGGAGAGGCCTCTCTGGATGGGAAGGAGGCAGCCAGTGAGCTGGAGGTGGAGCATTCCAGGCAGAGGGCATTGCCCGTGCAAAGGCCCTGAGGTGGAGAAGAGCTGGTGAGTTTGAGGAATAGTGAAGAAGTCAGTGGGGCCAGAAGCGACTGCATCATTGTGAGGGAGAATAACAAGCTAAGAAGGTGAGAGGGAGGTCAAGGCCAGATTGCCCTGAATGGGTGGTGAGAAGTCACTGGAGGGTTTTTTAGGCATGGAAGCGAAGGGGAGTTTTTAAAGGCCCCTGCCAGCTTCCATGCAAAATTGCACTGAGCTTCTATTCTAACAGATATTTAGCAGAAAACAGAGTCTACACATCTGTATTGGCCTTGAAGGATAGTCATGTTCACAACCTGAAGGTGTTTGTAGGGAAATGAATAGCTGTCAAACTCCTATACATACTTCAAAACCCATCACTTAATGCATAGTAGGAGTAAAGAGGCCAGAGCAGTGCTTCCAACCCCATACCAACAGCCTCTCTTTTCAGCCAGAGCGAGGATGAGGTTCATTTGGCTTTTACCTTGGCCTTTCGCCCTGGTACTCCCTGGGTATTCCGTGGCTGCTGGACGGAAAAAGGGCAGGAAGGGGACCCCAGGTGCTTAGCATCCTTCCTAAGGGACTGGGGTCCAGCTGATGGGATTGACAGGGACAGACTGAGGCTCAGTCTAGGCAAGAATGGCCTAGCTGAGAATTCCAAAGTTGAAAGTCGCTGTCCTATGTAAGGTGGTGAGTTCCTGGTTCCTTGGAGGCACATAAGTCAACCCCAGACGTAACCCATCAGGAATGCTTCAGAGGAGGGAACACCTTCCCTGGGAAATTGTTGGTGGACCGTGACTTCCCCGCAGCCTCACCTCAAATCCCCCCCAGCCCTGAGCTTCTGGCTGTGTGCAGGGAGCCCCACCGGCCTCCAGGCATGACTGGGTGCTCTCTCCTTGAAGGCAAGACCCATACGGAGACCTGGAGGATGAGGTCACCTCCTGCAGCCTCCTCTGGTCCGCCCACAACGCCACGCATGCCAAGTACACGTGCCATATGGATGTGTTTCACTTCATGGCCGACGACATTTTCAGTGTCAATGTCACAGACCAGTCCGGAAGTTACTCCCAGGAGTGCGGCAGCTTCCTCCTGGCTAAGAGCAGTGAGTATCCCCGGGACCTTGGAGCAGAGGGGAGCCCAGGCCGGTGCTGAGCCCTACACACTGTGGGCCGGCTCGCCCCACGTCAAAACGGACCTGTCCTAGGTGCTCATTTCTCCTGAGAGTGTGTACTGTAGAAGCACGACTGAGGTGTGATGGGTTCATACTTAGGTTTGGGCCTTTAACCAAGGAGTGGCAGCAGAGGCTGGCAACAGAGCTGGACCAGGGCCCAGGACTTGCCCATCTGTGACCCCGGACTGGCTCACTGTAGACTGATGGCCTTCTGCCCCCATTTTGAGGCAAAGCAGGGGAGGCCATGTCCCAGGAGAAGAACTTCCCTGAGACTTCTCCCGTTTATTTGCTTCGCTGAGGCCCAGACTTTCCCTCCAGCCTGGAGGAAGGGAGGCGGCCTGGCTGGGTCCAGGACCAGGGCAGGGCTGGGAAGGGCCCAGGAGGCAGCTCCCAAAGCAGGAGGTGAGAGGCCCATGCCCAGAGGCATGCAAGCAGACCATGAAGAGAGGCCTGCCCTTGGGGAGGCTTAGCTCTTGCGGCCTGGGAGGTTGTCCCCAGATTCCCAGTGGTGGGTCAAGAAGATAAGAGGGTATCTGCCATTCACACTCTGGGGGTCCAGGTTCACGCCACTTTGCACACAGATGGGTGTGAGCAAAGCTTCACGCAGACCCAGACACACCCAGACTCATGCGCGTGCACGCACACACACTTGTAAATACCCCTCAGAGGCACCGATGTCTTACCAGCAGCCAGTGGCCTGGACAGCTTGGACAGAGAGCACTTACGCTCTGTGTCAGACAGGTGCCAATGTGGACGCACGCATGCGCACACAAGCTCTCTTGGCCACTGGACCCAGGCGTGGCAAACCCATGGAGCAGGGCCACCCTCCTGCCCCGGGGGAGCGCGGGCAGGTAGCGTCCTACCCCTTCCTCTCCAGAGCAGAGTGCAGGGCAGAGAATGAGCTGCTTTGCCTTGCAGGGGGCTCCAGGTCACGGTTCCCTACCCCGCCTCCCTTCTGCCCTCCCTGCCAGGGTCTGAGGCCTACCTATGCCCAGATGTGATAAGGAGATGGCTTTTGGCTCCCCGCCCACTCCGGCCCCCTCCTCCTGGCAACAGGCTCTGCAAACACCCGAATCCCTCCCAGAGTCGGTCCACACCGCCCAGCCCCGGCCACAGGGAAGCAGAGAGCTCCACCCGGCCCCGGGGAAGACAGAAGAGGGTTTAAGGACGAGTCCTGTCCAAACAGATTCGTGACTCAAAGAGAAAAGCCCTCGATGGGGTCCCGGGAATGGGCACCTTCTCCCAACTCAGGCAGAGAAGTAAGCGGCTTTAGGAATTCCTTTTTTGCAACCCCTGAAAGGTTCATTTGTTGATTTAATATGCCTGCTCTGCCCGGGGAGCCGGGAGCCGTGGGCACAGTGTTGACTCAGGAGAGCAAAACCTCAGCCCCAAGCAGCTCAGACCCCAGAAAAGGTGCCAGTGGTGAACAAGATCACACAGGGAAATGCAGAAAATGTTAGATGTTGGCAAAAAATAAAAGGTGGAAGAGGAAGAGAAGGCAGGAGCTGGGGGACAGGAGCCTGTGGCTTCTCTATCCCCGAAGGGACCTCCTTCTGCTACTGAGTTTGATCCCTGAGAACTGTGACCCCATGAATGGGGAGCTGGTACCCTTTTATAAGAGAAGAAATGAAAGCATATAACATGTTGTATCCTGATCACGATCATGAAATGAATTTGGGGTAGAGCGAAACAGGAGGCCTGGCTTTGACCTTGGCCTGCGAGGCACCCAGGAGGGTGTGGTGTTGTGACTCAGGCCTCTGCTGGGCTCTCACTTTCCAGAAGTCTCAGAGCTCAGGGCCACTTGAGGAGGGTCAGACTGGTCTGCACACAGTCCTGCAGGAGCTCAGTAGCCCTTGCTTTTTCATTAGCATAAATGAATATTAATGTAGCTTATTAGCATGAATGCTCATCAGAGTCTGGCTTCTCTGGGAAGTTGCAGCAAAAAAAATGACGTCATCATTTAGAACAGAAATGCAGAACTGGTGCCTCTGAACCACACACGTTGCTTAGCAAGTTTTTGGATTAGGAGCTATTTTTTTTAAGATTTTCTATTTATTTGAGAAAGAGCGTGTGCATGCACGAGAGCGAGTGAGAGAGAGGGCACCAGTGGTGCAGGGGGAAGGGGTGAAGGGAGGGGCAGGAGAAAAGCAGACTCCCCACTGAGCAGAGAGCTGGGCAGGGCCTCGATCCCAGGACCCCGGGATCATGACCTGAACCAAAGGCAGACGCTTAACCAACTGAGCCACCCAGGCACCTGGACTAGTAGTGAACTCTAATGTTGGAGAGAGCTTTCCCCCATCTGGGGTTCCAGGCTGTTCTCTGGCCACCCTGATCTGCAGTCCTGCCTGGCCTGACTGAGGCATCTCCCTTCCATGTCCTCAGACCCCAAACCAACTTTGCCCACTTCTGCTACCCTCCCGCCCCTGCGGCGGCAACTCCAGTGCGGCCTGAACTTCTCACTTCTCAGACGCACAGACTGAGGCCCGGAGACAGGGGCTGCCTCGCCCAGAGTCACAGGGCGGGGTACGGATCCCGCCGACCCCACAACCAACACGGGGTCAGGCGACAGGCAACTTCCTGCCACTACATCTTTCTCAGTCGTGGCCCGATCTCACCCCTTTCTTCTCTTTCTGGCTTTTCCCTCCAAGTCAAGCCGTCCCCGCCTTTCAACGTGACCGTGACCTTCTCAGGACATTATAACATCTCCTGGAGCTCCAGCTACGATTCCTATGCGCTGAAGGGCAAGCTGCAGTATGAGCTGAGATACAGGAAGCGGGGAGGACCCTGGGCCCCGGTGAGGCTCCCAGAGACCAGGGGCGGGGCGGGGGGGCACCACGTGGAGAACATGGCAGGGTGGGACTCTGGGGGTGGGGAGGGGTATCCAAGAGACGGGTGAGCAGCTGACTCACAGCCAAGACTGGAACCAACAATCCACCGAGGCTGGAAGGTCCCCCTTCCGCCCTCCCGCCCCGTGCTGCCTCTCCTCATTTCTCCCTGGGGTGGGAGGCCACTCAAAATTCTGTCCTTCCTGCCCCTGGTTCCTGGGTCGGGTTTCCTCCCGGAGTCTAGTACATCACAGCAGAGGACATTCCAGAGATGGGGCCTTCTGGAGCCTTCCCGCCTGGCTGAGGATGAAGCTTTAATCACCAAGGGAGTCCAGTGTTAGACCATTGTTTCCAAGGTGCAGGCTTCTAGAGCTATCCTCGTTTAGAGCACTGGAGAGTTCCCAAAGGGCCCACTATTCAGAACAGTCAAGGCTGAAGCCTTCTAGAATGATCCAGTTCTTCAGAGCAGACCCCGTTGAAGAATTCCGTACATGCAGTTGTTTGGAATGTCCACCGGGGAAGGCTTCCAGAGGTTATCTGTTGCTGAGATGCCTGTGGTTGAAAGCTTCCAGAAATGCCCGCTCTGGAGAAGTCCGACTGTGGAACAATTCCGAAAGGGACCACTGTCTGGAACGCTGATGGTTAGAGATTCCCATCAAACAGGCCATTGCTACTCCTGGGCCCGTCCTGGTCCTCGAAGGGAGGGCACCCTGCCAGGACTGTGAGGGGAGATCTGGGGTCAGAGAGAGACCAGGTCAAGGTCAAGCCGAGCCTGGTCTTGTGGCAGGAGTGGGGACTTTGCTGGAGACACTCAACCCCTTTCGTGGAGGTGGGTAAAGGGGGCTTCTGCTGGAGGCTGGGGCTGGCCTCGGTGAGCCTGATCGGTGCCACCTTTCCCCCTGTCAGCAGCGTCCAAGGATCAAGCTGATCTCCGTGGACTCGAGAAGCGTCTCTCTCCATCCCTCGGAGTTCCTGAGCGATGCGAGCTATGAGCTGCAGGTGCGCGCAGGGCCCCAGCCCGGCTCCTCCTTCCAGGGGACCTGGAGCGAGTGGAGTGACCCGGTCACCTTTCACACCCAGCCGGGGGAAGGTAGGTGTGGCTCCTCGCGGGGCATTCAGTGTTCCCAGTACTGCCTGGGGTGGGGATTGTTACCTCCCTTATGCAGATGGGAACACGGAGGTCCAGAGAGATGAAGTCGCTGGCTTGGGGTTCGGGGGGTGGGGGTGCGGGGAGTAGGATCCCAGACCACCTCACTTGCAGGCCCCCGCGGCCCTCCTGTGCCCTCCACAGCAGACCCGTTGCCCACCACACCCGCCCCACGGGGCCTCTGGGAGAGGTGGATTCCCCCTTCACCCGGTGTCTGCTTCCTTTGCAGAGATCAAGGGAGGCTGGCAACCTTCCTTGCTCTACCTCCTCCTGGTCGTCATACTCCCCATCCTCGTCTTCTTAGGCCTGAAGATCCACCTGCCTTGGAGGTGAGACCAGGGATTCGGGGAGGCGGCGGGGGGGGACGGGGGAGTCCTGGGCCACAAGCTGTCATCGCGACCGCGGCAGTGACAGGGATGGTGATAAGAACAAGCTCCTGTTTCCTGGGCACTGGGCAGCGCACCCGCCTCTCCACACCCGCCGTGGGAGCGGGCCCTTGGATGCGTACCACCCCTGGACAAATGGGACAAGCAAAGAGGCACAGAGCTGGCGATGTACTTGCCCAAAGCCGCCCTGCTCTGAAGTGGAGGAAGCGCCCCTGCGCTCTCACAGTGACCCAGGCCCTGACCTTGTCGGTGGCGTTTATGCTTTGAATCCCCGGGGTGGGGGAGCACGCTGGGCCGCCAGATGGGGGTGAAGACTGGATGTGATAACCCGCCCTCCTTTCTTCTGCTCCAACCAGAGCTTTTACTTTTACTTTTATCCTTTTATGTGTTGGGTTCGGTCTTCAGGAGAACTGCTGGCGGAGGCAGGGGCTGTGGTCAGGGTTTGCTGAACCCCGAGGGGGTGGGAATCTGCACACCCAGCTCGATGTGTGCATCTGTACCCAGAGGCTTTGCCAGAGTCAGAGGCAGTGAAGCTGGAGGGGGAGGGAGCACTGTTTGGGTGCTGGGGTGCTGGGTCACTGTGTATACACCCTCCGAGTGCTCCCCGCACCCCTGTGAACCGGCCCTTTGCTTATCTCTGGTGGCAGAGGAGGGGTGAGGGGCAGCATTTGCCCGGCTCGGAACAGGCTCGCAAAAGGCAGCCGAACTCTTAAACTCCAGGCACCTTCGCCAGACTTGCTGCCCCCATTTTACGGATGTGGAAATTGAGGCCCGGGGGCAGAGGGGCCGAAGGGGGGGTGCGTGGGTGTGCTTTGGGAGGGGCTCAGTCTCCTGCAGGACAAAGCCGGGGAGCCCCTGAGCGGGAGGCTGGGCTACCCTCTGGGGGATGGTTGAGGGCTCACTTCGTCTCTGTTCTCCCAGGCTGTGGAAGAAGGTGTGGGGGCATGTGCCCAACCCACAGAAGTTCTTCCAGCCCCTGTATGTGGGCCACAGTGGAGACTTCAAGGTGAGTGCCCTCCAGCCCGTGACAATGTCCCCCAGCCTCTTCTCCTCTGGGAGCTCACCTCTGCCTGTGCCCCAGGAACCCTCCACCTGCCAACCAGGCTCCGGGCTCCCCAGTGGCAAAGTGCAGGAAATAATTCGGGTGGGGCAGAACTGGTACGAGAACAGACACAAAATCAGGCAGCCTGTCCCAACCCCTGGGCCAGGCTGGGGGGAGGGATGAGCCAGGTTCCTTGAGTCGAAAACTGGCCTCCTGCTCCTTTGTCAGAGGTCCTTGAGATGGAGAGTGGGTTCCGGGAAGGGCGTGGCCCCACCCGCAGAACACACCAGCCCCCCAACCCCCCCACACTCCCACCAGGCCCCAACCACCCGTCACCCGCCAGCGCCCACAGTTGTCTGTGCCCATTTACCGCTCAACACCTACCCCGAGGGGGAGGGCAGACCGCAGAGAGGATGTGGTGACTGGCGGGGGCGGGGGGAGGAGCCCACCCCCTCCAGCGGAGCGTGGATGTCAGGAAACCTGGACCAGAGCCTGGTGCTGCCCTGAGCTCCTTCCATCTTGATCGCGGCCCCTAGGGGCGGGGGGTGGGGGAGCGCTCCATGGTCCATAGGGCGCCTCTGGGGAGACCGAGGCTCTGCGTGGGGAAGCGGCTTTCGTGAGGCAGGGGAGCAGCCCGAACCCCCAGCCTCACGGAGAGGAGACCTTCCTCCTTCCTCTGCACCTTCCCTGAAGCTCAGAGGCCACACCTGTTTGGTATTTACTCACCTGGGCTGCACCTGTGTGCCAGGCCCTAGGCTGGGAGCTCCAGAGATGTGAATGCATCTCCTCCTCGCATAGCTATGGCGGGGGGATGGACAGGGAGGGCATTACTGGCAGATGGAGGGGCCTCACCCGGGTCCCAAGATGTTTTCTGAGGCAGCAGTCTCACAACTGGGGGACTCAGGTTCTCGGGGGTTTTTACCATCATTCAGGTGGGGACCCTGTGTCATGTGTGGGACCCCAGGCCAGCGAGGGCGGGGGCGGGGATTGTGCTCAAAGCTTGGGGCGGGGCGCTGCCTCGGTCCGTCGTCACCCCACATCCCTTACCCAAGGGGCATACAGAGGCCTTTCCAAGTGGCTTGTCACTGATTCCCCCTGCGTGTTCATTTAGTTAATACACATTTATTGGGCACCGACTGTATGTGAGGCACTGTGTGAACCTCCGGGGATACAGCTGGGACCAGAAGAATCGAGGCTTCTGCCCTGGCTGAGTGTCCGCTCCAGCGGGGACACCAACAGGAGAATGCTTGTTTCCTAGAAGCATCGACTTCTGTCACTCCCGTCCGCATTGTCCATACAACTCAGCAGTCTCCCAGGCTCTATGCAGACCCCAGGCCGCTGAGCACTGGTTGTCTGGCAGGCTGCTAAGGGCAGTGGCTCCCTCCGCAGGTGGGGAAACTGAGGCCCAGGAAGGGAGGGACAGCAGTGCGGAGCGTCCCTGGATAGGGGTACACCATGGCTCTGACCCCTGGTGTCCTGTATCCTCTCGTGTCTCTTTCTCTTGCTATCTCTGTCTTGTCTCTATGTCTGTCTGTCCATACCCGCCTTGCCCCTGTCCTGTCATGACCGTCTCCCTCTTCTCTCTCTTTACAGAAATGGGTGGGCGCCCCCTTCACTGCCTCCAGCCTGGAGCTGGGACCCCGGAGCCCCGAGGTGCTTTCGTCCCTGGCGATGCACAACCATTGCCCGCCGCAGAGCAGCACCAAGGGGCCGCAGTCCATGCAGCTGCCCGAGCCCCCCCACCTGGTGGGAGCTGACGGGGTGCCTGAGCCAGGCTCCTGGGGCCCGGCCTGCTCCCCTATCGGCAGTGTGGGTGGCTCGGCTTACAGCCAGGAGAGGGACCGACCGTATGGTGTGCTGGTGTCCATTAACACCGTGACCGTAGCAGACATGGAGGGCCCGTGTGCCTGGTCCTGCACCTGTGGGGATGACGGATACCCGGCCCTGAACTTGGACGCCAGCCTGGAGCCCGGCTCGGGCACTGAGGACCCGCTCCTGGACCCTGGGACCACAGTCCTCTCCTGTGGCTGTGTCTCGGCAGGTGGCCTTGCCGGGCCAGGAGGGCCTATGGGCAGCCTCCTGGACAGGCTGAAGCTGCCTCTTGATGAGGAGGCGGGCTGGACCCCAGGGCCACTGTGGAGTGGCGGGCCCCCCAGAGAGGCATCTGACAGCGAAGTAGGCTCGCCTCCCGCCGGCCTGGACATGGACACTTTCGACAGTGGCTTCGCGGGCTCTGACTGCGGCAGCCCTGTGGAGTGTGACTTCACCAGCCCCAGGGACGAAGGGCCCCCCCGGAGCTACCTCCGCCAGTGGGTGGTCATGGCGCCTCCGCCCGAGGGACCCGGGCCCCAGGCCAGCCAGTGAGGCTGACCCGCAGTCCGGAGCTGGCCGAGCCATTCCGCTTGGAGTCAGAGCTGTGCTCACCTGGGCCGTGGGGTGAAGGGGCCTGCGACCTTTGTGCCCCCAGATGAGGCCCCTGAGCCCAGTTGACACCTGGTGTGCCTGTGTGATCCCGGAGCACACGGGTGTGTCCGTGTGCGTGAGCAGCACACATGCGCATGGGCGCAGAGACGAGACGCATGTGTGTCTGGGACCGTGTGCACACCATGACAGCCGTGGACTGTTCCCGACGTGGGGAGGCCCCGGGGTCGTGAGAGGCTGGTTCAGTGTCATCCGTGGGGCCTGCTAGCATCAGTCCCTGCCCTGCAGGTCCTGCCTCCAAGAACCGTGAGAAGTCCCCAGGGGTCCTTTTCACTTCTCAGGGGAAGGGGATGGAGTGAGCCTGCGGTGACCCTGGGTGTGTGAAGGTTTGTGGGGGCCTGTGGACTGAGGTCTGAATCCCAACTGTGATGCCCCTGGGCTGTACCACCTTGGGCAAGCCCCTTCCCCTCTCTGGGCTGGAGTTTCCTATCTGGACAAGGCGGGGTGGGGGGGCACGGGGAGCACGACCCACTTTGGGGAGAAATTGGTGAGGTCACCCACTGTACAGGCTGGGACCAAGCAGACCGTCAATAAATTCAGCTTCCTTCCTTCTGGGGCCCAGACCAAGGCTCGTGCGTGCCGGCAGTGGGCGGCGGTGAGAACGCAGCCACAGCTCTGGCACTTGGGGCGGGGGTGGGCAGGGGCGGGGGTGGGCAGGGGTGGAGGGTGTGTTCCAGGCTTCAAGCCAGCCTGTCCCTTAGAAACCTTCCCCACCAGCCAAGATTTCCTTTGCTGGCTCCTGCAAAGGAGCCACTTAGTTATTCCCGCTGTGCTCCCAAGAAATATTTATCGGGCACAAGGACACGTGCCAGGTTCTGGGGTACGCAGGCCGGGGGAAGGCGGGGTAGGGAAGGGGAATGGGGAGGGGAGTCCTCCTTCGGCACTCATGGCGGGGGAGGGGCAGGCAGGAATCTGCAGTGGGATCTTATCTGCTCACCCCTGGGAATCGGGGAAGTCAAGGTCTTGTTGATTTCTGAGACAGCCCCTTCAATTGTGAATTGAGAAACTCCGAAAATCCCCTTGTGTTTGAAGGCAGGCACCTTACCCATCATCAGTGCCACAGACTGTTTGCAGCTCAGGTTTTAAAAAACCAAAACAAAGCCCAACACAGCAAACAAGACCTCGGGTTGTTTTCCCAGTCGGGGGCGATCACCTTTAGAGCCATCTTTTTCGAGGCCGCAGAGCAGGGTTAGGGAGGCCGAGAGTCTGATTCAGCCGGGCCAGCTCTCAGAGCCCCAGGGACACTCCCACCCCTGCCTGGAGCTGTCAGGCCGGGTCGGAGGCCCAGCTGAATGAGAAAGCTCTGGTTTTTCTCTCCTCTTGGCTGAGTCTGAGCTCCCAGGTGGTGGAAGTCAGTCCTGCACAAAGCCTCACTGTGACTCATCTGTAAAATGGCATGGTTGCGGGAAGACCCCTAGGGAGTCTTTGGTAAGGAAAGTTCTAGAATATGGATGATTTCAACTGTGGCACTGTTGACCTGGGATTGAAGTGAGGCTCAGCTGGGGGCTAGAGCTTGACACCAGAGCTCCTGCACAAGTGAGCAGCCCTCCCCACCGCCGTCACCCCCACCCCCCCTCCCACCCCCCCCTGCCCGGGAGGCTTGGGCCAAGGTGTGCTGTGGTTTTCACATCCTCCTGGGGGCAGCGGGTTCCAGGGGCCACCTGAGCCGCTGGCTCCTGGGGGGAGGCAGCTCAACTCTGCAGCACACAGAGCTCTGGGACTGGGGCGGGGGGGGTGCAGGGTTGGCAGGGCAAGAGGCCAGGGCTGGGGCTTGGTCAAGGGCTCTGGCCTGGGCCAGACATGGCTCTTCACCACCTCTGTCTCTGGAGGGGACTCAGCCTGTAAGCAGGCTGCATAGCGGAGGCAGGAGCCAGCCTTCCTGGGAGGCTGGATTAGCAGGAGCTGGGTGGCTGGACGACAGAGGGACGGGTGGCTATGTTGATGGGTGGACGGACGGACGGAGGAAGGGATGGTGAAAGGCTTCAGGGAAGAACGTTGCTGGACAGGTAGAAACACAGCTAGAGACCCAGCTCATAAGTCGAATATAAGCTCCACGAGGGCGACAACTATCTCTAGTTTGTTCCCAGCCCTACCTCCAGCCGGGCACACAGGCACTCGAAAAAGCCCGATTTGCAGTGCATTGTGTGTGCTTTATTCCCATGGTGAAGACGCTTCCCCGTGGCCGATTTCAAGATACCAACCGGACAACCTGAAGTGGGATTGGGAAGAGAGGTGCGTCACCGAGACCCTCCTAGGTGGTTGGAACCAGCCTCAGCACTCCACTGACGGGAGCCCTAGGGCACTGGGAGGGGCTGGAGGGCCTCAGGGAGGAGGTGGTGTTTGTTGGACTTTGAAAAAATGAATAGGAGTGGCTAGATGTTTGTTTCTTCCAGCTAGAGCAAGGGCCAGGAGGGGTGACAGAGCCCTGAGTACCTGCAAGTGGGGAAGGTGGCCCCTGGTCACCCAGAGTCCAGGCCACAGTTGCTAATGACTCTGGTAAGAGAGTCAGGAGGATTGATAGCAATACCCCGTGCACGGAAACCACCTTCCCCTTCTGGGCCAGACTTTTTCCATCTGCAGGGTCAGAGAGAGCAGGGATGTCCATCTGACAAATGAAATGAAGGTGCACAAGGGGCCAGGGGCTCGCTTGTCTGAGGTCGCACACTGAATTAAAGGTCATAGTCAGAACTTGAACTCTAGTCTCCTGATCCTAAATGCAGCTCTTCCTCCCCTTGCTCTGCTGGGAGGGACTTAGGTCAAGAGGGAACAAACCCTGAGCAAGCACCTGTGAAGTGCCTGTTGCTTTGTCCTCGTGGGGCAGCTGACCCCAGCTCTAGGAGTGGTTGACAGAGCATTCCATGCCCCACCCCCGCCAAGCCACACTACTGGATCTGGGACATATATGGGACCCAAACCAGTCCATGTGATATTTCTGCTGGGACTGTCGAGCGGTAGGGTTGGACTGAAGCCTGGGGCTGTGGGGTGAGGCCAGCACACAAGAAAGCAGAGCTGGGATTGGAGATAGATTCCTGGTAATATCTCCTGAGCTCCTGGATCCAACCATGCCTGAAACCACAACCTCATGGACTTTGGAGGTACACGAGTGTGGAAGTCATTATGTCCCCCTGGTATGAATCACATGACCAGGACTGGGCAGGGAGTTACAACTCTGCTTACAAGCAGAAGTGTTAAGTCTCGCTTTTGGACCACAGCTTGTACAGGCCAATTGTGATGCTCTCCCCGAGTGTTGATCCTTTCTGCCACTGTGAGCTGAGACAAATGAGCTGGTGGCTGCTCTATCAGGCTGGGCCCCTGTGTGAGGAGATGTGGAGAGAAGAGCCTCCAACTTACCCAACATGGACATGTGTCATGAGCAAGAAATAGATCCCAGTTGTAACCCATCGAGATCTGGGGGCTGTGCGTTAGCACGGCCTTACCCAGCCTGGCCCAACTGGGCTGAGGAGCTGGGAGGTTCCCCGTTTGCTTAAGTGGGTCCGAGATGGGTTTGTGTCACTTGCGGTGGGAAGTGTCCTAGCATAACGAGGACCCTCCTCTCGACCTGAGGAAGGACTAACTACATTCAAAGGGGGCAGAGGACCAGGCTCCATCCCTTCTCACCAAAGACTTGGGCAGCCACGGGCTGTCTCTGAGCCTCAGTTTCGTCTTCATAAAGCAGGGGCAGCCATCAGCCTCTCAGCTTGCTGGGACGACCTCCAGGTCTGGGAGGAACGGCTCCACTGGGATGAGACCCACACAAAAGAAAGCAGAGCTGGGTGTCTTCCTTTAGGCTCCCTGTTGGAGGGGAACGCTCTTCCCCCTTCTCTACTTGGGACTTGGTCTGGGGACGGGCCGTTGGCATCACGTGGGACACATCCCAACTGCGGCTGTCTGGACGCACCATCGGAGAGCCAGGGACAGGAAAGACAGAGCAGTGAGCACATATGTGCACTTGGCTCCCAGAAGCCCACCAGACTTCCTAGAGAACAGGAGGGAGAAGTACACGTTCTCGACAGGGAGGAGATGGGACAGAGGCTGCCCGCGGTCACGAAGCATCAAGCCACAAAAGGGAAACAAGAAGAGCCAGGTCTCTGCTCAGACGTCACCTTCTCAGCAGGACCTCCCCAGGGCACCCCCCTACTTAGTAGTTTCTTCCCCCTGTAACATTTATTAAGCTCTAACCTATGTCTTTTACTGATTAGTCGTGCTTACTGTCAACCCCGCTAGCATGGGGGGTTTTGTCTGTTTTATCCACCACTGGTCTCAGAGCCCAGAATGGTGCCTGGCCCGCGGCAGGTGCTCAGCGAATGCTGGACGCACGGGTGACTATGTGGATCAATCTGGTAATGGCAGAGCAGCGGCTGGCAAGGCAGTGGGCAGAGAGGACGCAAGGGACTGAGCCCAGGAGGGAGCCACCTGCCCTGGACCCGGAGATGCCACAGAACGGGACAGGGAGACGAGGACATGGGCCTCTTGTGAAGTCTGTAAATTGGGCAAGAGACCCTCTCCCTTTGCTCACCCCAGGGGGCAGCGAGGGGTCTTTCCCCCCACCCCTAGGGGCCAGAGATCTGATAAACGGTTTTTCTTTTAACATTGGTGGCCCCAGAGGGAAAAAAACCTCTTTCTGCATTGTAGGGGGGTCTCCTGGAATAAGGTCAGCTGCTCAGCCCGAAGCAAACCCCGCCTCTGGCAAGCGGCGTGGAGAGGGACGGCTTTGAGGCAGCACAGCCCAAGCTGGCCCACCAGCAGATCCGCCCACTAGCTACCAATCTGCAGAAGCTCTTTTCTCTCTCTGTGCCTCAGTTTCTTTGGACACCAAATGGCATAATGAAGGCCTGTACCTCTTTCTGAGGCTGCTATGAGTTGATCTGTGTCAAGTGCCAAGGATGGTGTCCGGCAAGCGGCAAATGCTCAGGAAGTGTTGTTTCATCACCATTTTTGTGGACAAGTCATCCTGCCCCCCCGCACACCCTCTTCTCCTTGCCCAACTACTCTAGCAACCTAGTTCAGAGCCGCAAGACCCCTGGAGAGCAAGAGGAACCAGTCGCCAACAGCGCCGGCGGGCTGCTGCTGCCACCTGCTGGTGACCACGGGAACGGGCCGACGTAGCCTCCCTCCCGCCAGCGGCGCTGTGTGTCAGGTGGCTTACACGGGCAGCCCTCTGCCATGGTCACCGCAGCCCACTGCCCTGGGAGTACAGTGATGAGGACACAAGGTGAACTGACTTTTTTTTTTTTAAAAGATTTTATTTATTTATTTGACAGAGATCACAAGTAGGCAGAGAGGCAGGCACAGAGAGAGAGAGAGGAGGAAGCAGGCTCCCTGCTGAGCAGGGAGCCCGATGCGGGGCTCAATCCCAGGACCCTGGGATCATGACCTGAGCTGAAGGCAGAGGCTTTAACCCATTGAGACACCCAGGTGCCCCCTGACGGGCTTTTTAATCAACCACGGCGGACTTCTGGTTGGGTGGCGGGATGTGCACAGGGCACGGGACAGTGGGGGTGGTGAGGCGTCACCGGGAGATCACACGTGTGCACGCGTGCCCACACGGACACACACATACGTGCAGCACCTAGGCGCACAGACACGTCTATACACGGAACGACATCCACACACAACTGGAAAATCCCTGGTAGAAGTGGGTCAAGGGTCCAAGGGAAGGCTGGGTAGTTGGGGGAAGTCAGAGGGCGGAGATCACTCTCAGCTGAGGTCAGAAGGGGGCAGAAGGGGAGCAGGGGACTGGGGAGGGGGGCCAGCAGAGGGCAGGACAGGGTCTGAGAGGGCTCTGGACAGGAGGTTGGCGGAGTCTGGGAAGGCAGAGGAGAAGGCTCAGAGAGGGTAGACCAGGAAGAGTGGTGCTTACCTGGAGGGAAAGGGAATAAATTCAGGGACATGGCTGGTAGCAGTGAGACATTTTATGGAAAAATGGCACCACAGGCCCATGTTTTCTAGGAGTGCATGAAATGTATGTAAATGGAAAAAAAAAAAAAAAAAGGCTTATGAGGGAAAGGAGCCTAGAGGCTTGAGTCTTACTTGTAGTGTTTTAAAGAGAATGCATTCCCACGTTGCTGATGTAGGTTAAAAGGAATAAGAACCTTTAAGAAAGAGTTGGGTGTGGGGTGGTGACATGAAGGACAGAGGCACGGATGTCCAGGCCGTATAGGCCTGGCCTCCTGCAAGTGGCAGGCCAGGGTGAATGGGACCTGCACCCTCTGGGCTCAGTGTCCCTCCTCACCCTCCCTGCCTTTGGTTTGGAAGTCAGTCTAAATGTGAATGTTCACACCCATCACACACACTTTAGTTTTCCACACTCTCTGCCACTCCCTAGTATTTATACTTAACACAAGGCTCCTCTTCTTCTCATTTATGTGACCTGTTTGGCCCCTGAAGGCATCTGTGCTCAGACCTTCTGGTCTGTGCTGTGGTTCTTGGAGCCCTCTGTGCAGAGGTTGGAAGGGCTGACCTACCTTGGATGGATGGACGGATTGATGGGGAGATGGTTGGATGGATGGGTAGGTGGGTGGATGGATGGACAGATGGATGCATGGACGGATGGATGCATGGATGGGTGGGGAGATGGACAGATGGATGGAGGGACTGAAGGATGGATGGGTGTGGATAGATGGATGTGGGGTTATATGGACAGACGGACATGGACAGATCACAGGTGGGCAGAGAGGGGAGAGGACAGGTCACCTTCGCACAGAGTGGCTGGCTGTGGGATGTGGAGCCGTGGTCATAGAAGTGCATCTCTCCACGGAAGGGCTACACCCTCGTCTCTTTGTCCTATCTCGCAAACACTGGCCTGAATCATTCCTCAGGCACGGGGACAGAGAGGGAGATAAACGTTGCTGAACCCTACCACGTGATTGTACTTGGTGTCCTTGAGTGCCTCTGGTCCGCCCATGAGGGAGGCAGTCCGTCCCCATTTTTCAGATGAGAAAAGCAGGGCTCTGAGATGGGAGTGTTGGGACCGGGTGCCCGTAACCCCACCTTTCTTCCACCGCATGATGCGTTCCCAAATAACTAGCATTTATGAAGTACTTTTTGTTCATAAAGCTGATCACACCCCTTTTTCCACTTGAGCTCAAAAAAAAAAAAAAAATCCCCCCCAAACACTTGTTATTTTTACACTTGAGTAAAAACGAGAGGGGAAAAAAATGATGGTTAAGACTTGGCCGGGTCTTGGCTCTGCTGGGGGTTCCCCCCTCAGGCTCCCTACCCCGTGCTCTCTGTCCTGCCCTCATCACCCTGGAGTCTGGCCCCAGGACGGAAACATGGGGCCCTGAGCTGGGCCAGGCCAGGTGCTGCACGTCGACCATGCCCAGACGGGCTGCTTCTGTAAGGCGGAGAAGCTGGTGGGTGTGAGGCTGGACCTGGGGCAGCGCTGACTGGGGGGCCTGTCCCTAGTGCCCTAGGCGCTATCGCTGGAGCTCTCCAGTTTTCAGCAAGATGGAAGTCTGCATTTTTTAAAAATGTGAAATGTCCATTTTTAAAAAAAACAGTAGCTAACATACACGTGTGAAAGAAAGAGAAGAAAGAAAAAAGAGAAGAGAAAGAGAGAAAGAAAAGGAGGGAGAGAACATCCACCGCCCAAACCCAGGCCACAGGCCTGTGACCCCTGCGGTCTCCGGCCCGGTCCTGGGCCAGCGCAGCACGGCACACCTGCCGGAGCGTCTCCGGGAGACCCAGGCCTGCGCCAGCGGAGGGCAGTGGGCAGGGCCGTGGCGCCTCCTCCTCCCCTCGGTTTAACTGGAGCCTCCATTCCCAGCTGCACCAGCCGAAACCAGGGAGGCCCCCAGGGGATCAGAGATTCTTTAGGAAACACACAGAACTACATGCATTTTACTTCACTTTAATTACAAAATAAATAAATACATGCCAAGGGTTTTTTTTAAAGAGAGAAGTGAAAAGAACAAACTGACCCCAGGCCTGTGCGGCTCCTCAACCCCAGCCCACGGGAAGGGCACCCCCACCCCCCACCCCCCACCTCCCGGAGGCCGCCGCGTGTCTTGCCAGGCCAACAAGGGAGCCCCAGGCTCTCCCCGGGTCTGAGGTCCTGCCTATAGAGCGGTCAGTCCCTGCCAGGGCCTTCGGTGGCAAGACACACAGCCCTGTCCCGTGATGCGCACCCCGCCCCCCCGAGGTCCTGCCGCTTGGGGCACTGGGCCTTTCTGCCTTGGCACCCAGAACCGGCAACGCAGTGCGAGCAGCGCCAGCTCCTGACCCCTCACGGCCACAGGACGACAACGCTGAGGTCCGCGCGGAAGGCGCTCTGCTCCCTGATGGCGGACGCCCTTGGAGGCCTCTCAAACTCACCACAACCCCAGGTCCGCAGCGAAGGCAGGCAGCGACGGAGAGCTGGGTCCTTGCCTGCGGCCACGGCTACGACGCCCTAGGAACAAGAAAGGGAGAGCAGGGACCCAAGCCTTCAGGCAGCTGCTCCCTGACAACAGCCGGCGGGACCCAGCAGGGCCCTCGGTCCGGCAAGACCCCCAGAGCGGCAGGGCGGGAGGCTCTCCTCCGAGGTCCAGGCCAGAGGCTTGGCACAGACGTGTCCCTGCGCACCAAGCGGGGTGCGGCGCACGCGGGGGCCAGGTGGAGCCCCCCTGGGGGAGTCACGCCCTCCTCAGGAGCCAGTGGTGGAGAAGGGGCTCACGGTGACCGCATGTGCCTCATAAGTGGACCCACTTGTTCCAGTTGACCTCGTGGGGGAACACACGGCCCAGCCGCAGCGTGCAGTCCAGCGTGGGCTCGTAGAACACGGTGGCGCTCTCGCTCGGGCTGGAGGGCGCCTGCACCTCGGGGACCCGGGGCTTGGAGAAGAGCGAGACGGCCGCTGGCTTCCTCAGCAAGCACTTCTTAATGCAGCCCAGGGACTCCAGGCCCTAGAGACAGTGGGACACCCAGGGTGACGGGCGCCCTTGCAGACCAGGTCCTCCGTCCTGTCCTACCTCAGGGGCTGCAGGACTCCAGGGCAGGGGTGGGGGCTGCAGGGGCCCAGGGAAGACGGGCAAGGGGCTCAGCCGCCAGCCTGGCAGGCTCGGAGGGCAACGAGCACGCCGCTCAGGGTGGCGCTGCACAGGGGGTGACGGGAGGAAGCGACCCACGGGAATAGCCTGGCTCTCAGGCCGGGCCTAGACCTCTCCGGCCAGTCACACCCCCCTCCCCCTGCCCTGGGAGGCTGCGGCAGGGGCCCAGGCTCGGGCCAGGCTCGGGGGGAGCCGCACCTGCAGCAGCTCGAGCACGGCGATGGGCTGGAGCGCACCCCGGTAGTGGCGCAGCAGGCAGCTCTCGGGGACGCCAGGCCGCGTCATGATGTGGTAGAGCATGGCCTCCATCATGCCCTTGCACACCGGCACGTTCAGGTGGCCGTCCACGATGCGCCACGGCCGGGCGACGAACGAGATGTTCTCGCAGTCCCTGTGGGTGTGGCACGTGGACATCAGGCTCGGCGGGCGAGGGGACACGGCTCCACGGACGAGACGCTGACTCTTGGGGCAGTCGGAGACTGGCCCACATCATGGGGCCGGAGGTCCTGCTCCTCCACTCCTCCCTTCCCAGCTGGAACGAGGGGTTCCAACCCCTGGGCCCGGGGCCGCTGGCTGAGGGGCCCCGCTCACACTCAGCCCTAACCACGGCCGTGGGGGAGGACCCAGCGCTGACCTCTGGATTTACCAGCTCCGGCCCAGCCCCCGGGCCATGGCTGACTCCACAGGAGGCCAAGCTCACAGAGGTCTCCATGCAGATGCTCTACTTCTGTGTCTTAGACAGCAGTCCCCCTGCCCCCCAGCGGCTGGTCTGCTACATAGGCTCCAGGCATGGGAGGGCCCAGGACCAGTGGGACACTTGGCTCCGACCGCTACGACTGGGGCCTGGGAGGGCTGCATATGAGCCGGGGCTCACGGCCCCAGGCAACCGAGGGACATGGGCACACGCGTGGGAGGCGCCCCCACACCAGGAAGGCTCCTGTGAAGCCCATGGTTCCAGACGGACCCACCCACTGCCGACGTCCACACCTCTGGCCCTTACCGCTCCTGCCTTGTTCCCCCAGCAGGTGGGACAACCAAAGTCCCACACGTTCCCAGGTCCCTGGGCTGAGAGCCACCGCGCCGGACTATGGAAGATCTCCACGTGACAATCACTGCTGGGACCCCGGGGACAGACTCCCCACCCTCGCACCCACGCACCGCGCCAGGCCGCCTGGATCTGGGCACACACTCACTTTTCCCATGCTGCTTGGGAGAGGCCACAGACCACAGAGCTCTCGGCCGAACCTGACAGAGGAGGGAAAGGACATGAGACCTAAGAGGCGGGAGTCCATCTCTTCCCGTTTCGTTCACACGATGCGTCCTTCCAGGTTCTGGGGACAGAGTGATGAACATGGGGACAGCAAGCCCATTCCTCACAGAGCCCTCCCCTTGAGGGGGCCAGAGCCAGTGCAACCACAACCAAATTGGGCTGGGCCACGGTGTGCAAGTGTGGGGGGGCGTTCCCAGGCCCCAAGGCAGCCCCTCGAGGGGAGGCAAGTGAGCGCCCCACCCTCCACCCAGAAGCCCCAACCCCAGAGCTGCACGCATGAACCCCTAAGGCAGAAACAGCCCCAAGGAAATAAAGACGCCTTCAGAAAACCTGGGAAGAGGCCAGCGTGGAGCATAGGTGAGAGCGTCTACACCGCGGGAAAGGAACACAGCAGGTCTCAGTCCCTGCAAGTCTGCCAATCCCGACAGGGCACGACACCCCGTGTTCCTGCCACGGCGCCCTCTCGCGGGACACAGCAGGAACAACGCCTTCCAGAACCACCCCTCCCGTCCTGCACTTGTCACTCACAGACCTACTCAGGAGACCCTGAAGCCCTCTAGTGGAAAAAGTAAGTGGAAAGAGGCAAGCCTTCCCCCAGCCAGTGCTGAGGCTAAGAAAATCTGGGCTTCCCAGTCTCAGGGAAGGCATGGGTGGGGGGGACACACTCAGGACAGAGAATGGGCAGGAGGGGGAAGGTGGGATGGGAGACCAGGTTCATTCGGTACCTCTGGGGTCTTCAGATCCTTCTGGAAGCTGGGCCTGACAGCTAGGCTGCTCCCGGCCTAGAGGGCTGGGAACCCCGCCATCCTCTTGGTCCTCCAGCCCGGCCCCCCGTACTCCGGGGGGAGGCTCCTCCACACCCGAGTCCCCGGGAGCTGCTGGCAGAGCAGGCACTGGGAGTTCTGGCTCCTCTTCTGCTTGGGCCCCGGGGCTGGGGGCCAGGCGCACATCCTGGAGCGTGGGCCTCTTGGCAGGGGGCTTGTGGGTACTCTCGGGGTTGGCCTCCCCGCCCTGACCAGCCATGTCATGGCTCGTGCAGCTGGCACGCCTCTTGGTGCTCCGGGGGCCCTGGGAGGGCGGAGCCGGCCTCCCCACGGGGCTGTCCTCGCGGGCAGGCCTGTGCGGGGGTCTGGCCTGGGGGTCTGTTGTTGGAGGGCACGCATCCTCCTCTCTGCCTTTCAGCCTCACCGAGTGCAGGAGCCAGGGCTGGGCAGAGGCCATGGCCACCAGGCGAATGGTGTTGCCACCAACTTCCAGGACCTGGTGGTGCTCCAGGAGGTCCTAGGAAAAGCAGGAGACACGCTGGGTCTGCGTGGGACCGCGGGGTCTGCACGCTTGCTTCCTTTGCCTGATGCATCTGAGCGTCCCAGGTAGACAGGAAGCCCAGCACCATCAGGACAGATGGCTCGAGGACGAGGTCTGGCTTCCAGCCTGGAGGGCGCCCGCTGGCCCTGTGGCCCTGGGGCAGCCCTGCCCCTTCCAGGCTTGGGGCGAACTTCTGAGAGCCGAAGCTGCGTTAGTGAGTCCTCCCAGGGAACTCAACACCCCGAGTGCTCTCGTGTCCTGCAAAAGCCACAACTGTCCCCACAGGAATGACAGTAACTCCTCTCGTCCTCACACCAAGCCCTGCCTCCCAGGTCCCTGTTCTGATCGAGGCACTGCACCGACACTATCACCTTTCTTTTCATTCCTAGCTTAAAAACCCACCAACTGGGATTCAAGAAATTTGCCCCAGTTCACATCCTGGAAGCAGGACTCATACCCTGGTCATGTGTGTCTGGGGAGGGCTCGCTGTAAGCGCTTGTCACCTGGAGCCCCCGGCCAGGCTGCAGGGAGCCTGGGGAGCTGCCTGCCCATCTCGGCTCACCTCCTAGGGCTCCCGAGGCACCACAGGCACAGTCATCATGACCCTGCTCTCGTATCCTGCACTCACGAACACTTGTCTGAAAACCCCAGTAGGTGATGTGTCCCCTGCTCCAACTACAGACCCCGCAGAGCTGGGCTGGCCGGCTCCCAAGGTACTCGCTTTAAAAGGTCCGTCTGTTACTACATTCCTTGGGTTCAAGGGTCCCTGGTGAAAATGGACCCAGGCAGGTAAAGTGGAGAGTCCCGTGGGCCCAGCAGATGCCCTGCTTGGCTCCATCCCACTGTGCTGAAGAAGCGGGGACCAGGGTGCCAACCCTTCTAACGTCCCAGAGAAGCTGGGTTTTAGGCAAAGTCTCCCATTTTTAATCTTGGCAACTCATTTAACTTGGGAAGAAATCACACTACATACCCCAAACCGAACCCCTCTTCGGCAGCGTGCGTCCGGCTGGTGTGGGGTACCCTCCGCGTACCCCACGGTACTCCAGAGCATGGCTCACCTGCACGTAGTCTGTGAAGGTCCGGGTGCGCTCGGCGTCGGTCCTCTCGAAGGCGGAGAACCACCGGCTCAGCTCCACTCTGTCCACCCCGAAGCAGCCCGCGGCCGCGATGACCCCGTGCACCTCCAGGACAGCGCACACGTCCCCTGGCTCGTACCCACACAGCTCCACCTGCTGGACAAACTCCTCTAGGCTGCAGGCGGTCCCCTGGCTCTGGATCAGCCTGGTGAAGGTGGCCGGGAGGCAGGATATACCCACGGGTAGCTCTTCCAGAGAAGGGACTGTGAAGACGAGGACTGAATCAGCCCGGCCCGGGGCACAGTAATACTGAGGAGGAACGCGCTCCAACACCAACTCAGCACCGCCCAAACAGGGAGGGGTGACCTTCTGGGTAGAAGGGGCATGGGCCCCCGGCGGTGGGGATGTGCCCCTTGGGCTGGGATAAAGGGCAGGAAGGTAGGGCTGGGGTCCAAGGACAGGAGCCCCAGAGCTCTGGAGGGGGGTCCTCAACTTGGGCTGTCCGGGCCCTGCCTTCCTGCTGCTCCTGTGTTCACTGCTCCTCAGACCCTGGGGGACCCCCGAGACCCCACCCTGAACTCCCACGTGAGCTTCCACGAGCCGGCGCTGCTGTGCGTGGCTTGCTGGGAAAGCCGGCTCTGCTAAGACCATGGTCACAGGTCTGGCCCGAGCCAAACTCCACACAGCACAGAACACCAACTGGGCCTTTGAACCTAAACTGAACACCATGCACCCCAAAAGGTGACGGGAAAGCAGAGGCAGGAAAGGGGTGGGACAGGGGAGGAGACGCGCAGGGCTGGGAAGGGGCCCGAACATTCTCATTTCATGTAGAGGAAGGAGACACCCTCAAATCTGGGGTATGGGAAAGCAAGGTTTAAGTAAGCTACTCAGAGTTTCGGAGGTAACCCACAAAAGGGCTAGAGAGTGTAAAACCGGAAACAGGTGAGGGCCTCTCTTTCAAAGCAAGAGGGCAAAGCCACGCTCAGCAGTCTGGGGCGGCGTGTGCTCCCGAGTCCTGAAGGGGAGTCTGCGCCAGCCCTGGCCCACGGGCGGCTCCAGGGTCGGCGGGCGGCACTCACCCGTGGGCCAGAGCCGCGTGGGCAGGGGGGTGCGGCGGAGCTGGAACGTCACCCGGCAGGAGTTCACCACGATGCTGTCGTTGGGGTTGAGGTTGCGGGTGCTGACGATGCCGGGCGCGCAGTAGCCCCGCATGAGCAGGTAGTTGGTGTGGGAGGCCTGGCGGGCTTTCACCTCGATGGCCCGGCGCTTGCTTCCTGAGCCTTCGTCCAAGTCTTCCTCCTCATCGTCGTCCTCATCCAAGCCCCCGTCCTTGCCCAGACTAGGAGAAAAGCATGGACCTGGGTGACGGAGCACAGGCTGAGCGCCTCTGCCAGCTCAAGAGAGTGGTCACCGTGGTCCAACCTCAGCAATGGCCTGTGGTCACTGCGGACCTCCTCCCCGGACCCCCGGCGTCTGGCTAGGAAGGGCAGGGTGGACGGCCGCTCCAGATTCAACTCCTCTGACCATCTCCCCACAGGCCATGCTCACCAGTGTCTTTGCAAGGGATGTTCCTTCTGGCAGGAAACCCTTCCAGTTTCAATCCCAAAACTGCCTGCTGTTCCACTAAATCCCAGCTTAGCTATTAGGCCCTCAGGGAACCTCTGCCAAAGCTACCTTCCCGCCTTACCCCTCCTCACCACACTGTGCCAGGTCCCTCTCTTTGGCACAGCCAGGTCTCTCCCCAACTCTGCTGCTGCCTCCCCCGCACCTGGAGGCACCAGCACGAGGCACTGGACTGGTCCCTAGTCCCCAGATCTGAGGTCCCGTCCCTGGGAGCTCCCTGCCACATTGCTGACATCTGCTGTCTCACGTGCCAGCCGTGATAGACTCAGCATGTGTTTGTGGAGTGAAGAAAGACCAGGGCGACCGGGGGCTCTGCCAGTTAAGTGTCTGCCTTTAAATAACATCTTAAGAAATAAAAGACCAGATGACGGAGTGAATAAAAATGCAGACACCATAGGACACCGCGGTGCCCGAGGCCCCCAGCTGCACTCAGAGCACGCGTGAAGCCTGGTGACAGCCCTGTCCTTACCTCTTCATGACCTCGTTCTCTACCATGGAGCTGTCTACCACGACAATCTGCTCCGGGATCCGGACGTCCACAGAGATGAGGCCCAAAGAGAAAAGGGTTAGGGCGGCCACGCAGTGTCCTCCAGGGTTGTCCAGAGAAAACGTCACCAGATGACTTGTAGACTTGTTAGTATCCTGGTCTTGGAAGGAAAAGTTATCAGGCTGGTCCAACTTGCCGGCGGCCAGGATTGTGCGGAGGAACTGGAACGACTCCGTGCACACGGTGCTTGGGAAGCGCCATGTAAAAATCCTGCATGGACACAAAGGAGGTAAGGTCCAAACCGAGGATGGGACTTTGGAGGCCTTCACGTGGATGGGCTACGGGCTTTGCTGAAGATCTGAAGGCCCGCCGAAGCCCTCTTTTCCACCTCAACATTCGCTATAGACGGGAGCCAGACTGGGGAAGATGAATGCACTTCCTGAGACGATCACCTTTTCCCCCAGGAAAGCCCTGAACCTGTGCAGAGGTGACGGGACGTGTACGTCCACGTCACTGTCTCCGCAAGGCAACAGCAGAGTCAAGCCTGGCCTGTCCAGAAGCCTGATTTTCCACAAGCCTCTGACAGGGGCCTAGGTCTGGAAGTCTTCTGGATGTGAACGTCGCCCGTGGCTCACAGTCAAGAATGCTGCGGTGGAGAAATGGTCAAGAACGAGCTCAAGGTCAAACAGTCTTGCCAGACCTGGGCCCTCGTCTTCTGCTTCCCGGGCCACAGCTCTTTTTACTATAGCCAGCTGTGCTCCAGGGAGGCAAGGAGACTGGCAGTGGGGAGGGTGTTTGAGAAAGGCGCAAGTGGCTACACTCACAGGCAAGGGATGTGTGAAAAAGCAAAAGCCCCCCATTCTACTGTTCTGTTCCTGACCACGGCCCCAGTGTAATCAGAGGATTGACAAGGAGAACGGCCTGGAAAAGAGGAGGCCCGTCAAGGCCAAGGGTTGCCAAGGCCCAACCCCTGAGACTACCCCACAGACTTCCCCTTTGTGTGGTCAGGGGGCGGCGGCACGACATGCCGAGCGGGTAACAGAGACTGGCCGCGCTGGTGGCTGGTGTGAGGGTCCCGTGACTTGGGGCTGCGGAGGGCAACTTGCGGCATCCCAGACCACCGCTCGGACCACTGAGGGGCTGCAGACAGCGTCTGGAATCCAGCCACGGGACAGCTTCAAACCGAACACATGGCTCGGCGTGGCCCTGAGCCTTAAGAATGCCCAACGAGGCCCCACCAGGACGCTGTGCCTTTTGCTGGGCTCATGGGTACAACACTCACTTTTCCCCGTTTGACAGGAGAAGAGAAACATACCACCTGCAGAATGGTACATGTCCCCAAGCTACCGAGGGCACTGCCCTTGTCCCCTAGCAAGTGGCACAGGCATGGATGGACACCTGCTCCAGAGGTGGCTCGCCCTCCAACCCAGGGCCCCGCCCTGCCCTAGCCCCGCCGGGGGCTCACCTGTAGTAGGTCTGGGAGAGCTGGTAGGACATGGGCACGAAGGGCAGGGCCCGGTTCTTCTTTGGGCCCAGCATGTGGTTGACCCGGCGCCGGTTAACCAAGCTCCTTTTCTGGCACTCCATGAAGGCCTTCACGAGGATGTGGTCCTTGTACTCACGGTATAGGCGGAAAGTCTGCAACACAGCGAGGCCAAGGGTGAGCAAGGCTCTCTGGCAGCTGGGGTGGGGGAAGGAGCAGAATGTGGGGTGCACAGAAGCGGGAACTGATCATGTGTGCTGGAGGGACTGATATGGGGCCGATGGGATGGGAGGCTGGAGCAGACTCCTGGGGGTGCAGGGCGGGAGGGCCTGCCATCCGCGGTCAACTTTGATCCCTATCAGAGAGAAGGACACCCAGACAAAGACAGGCAGCTGGAGACAAAGGATGACTCCATCTGGGGATACAAGGTTGTGGGAGTCAATGCAGAACCACCCGATACCACTCGCTTCCTGAGCCCTCGCCCAGCCCACCAGGAGGTCCAGCTGGCCATGTCCACATAAACCGTGCTTGATGCGGTCTACACCATCGCTCCTCACGGAGCCTCCACCCAACTGCTCTCCAGGCCCCCAGGCCCTGGCCACTCGCCACACAGCCACAGGGAGCCCTGTGCCTCCATCAGACCACACGTGGCTTCCCTCTGTAGAGGGAGCACCCAGTGCCCACTCGACCTGGCAAGGACTCCCGGGAGCACAGCCCTGCCCACCACTCTGGCCTCGCTGGCCTCCGGACTTTCCCAAAGAGAGCCTCCGTGCCACTGGGCCTGGCGTTTGCGACTCCCTTTCTTAGACCGCACCTCCCCCTAAATTTCACAAGGCTGACTCCTCAACTCTCAGCTCCGCCATGTCCCCTGCGGTCAAGTGTACTGAAATGACCCCATTCGCTTACTCGTCTCTCACCCACCAGAAGGGAAATCCCACAGGAGCACATGTTCAAGGTTTGTGGCTGCCACGGCAGGGCCTGGCACAGAGCAAAGGTGGACGGCAGTGCCTGGCCTGCCGCAGATGCTCCTCCGGCCGGCCACGCCACCCGGCTCTGTGGCTTGGATTCGGACCCGGCCCAGAGGAAGAGCAGCTCCAAGGCCTGCGGGGCCAGCAGGGTCCCGAGGACTTCCGTTTTTGGAAAGCACTGGCTCCATCGGCCAGCTGACCGAACGGCGGATGTCTAGCACATGCCAGACCACAAGGAAGTTCCTGCCAGACCTGTCTCCTCAAGATCACTGGCAGGAAAATGTGTGGCCGTGGTCTGAGGACTTTAGGCTTGGGAGGTTCTCTGACACGCTGGCCTGAGAAGCACAGGATGAACGGCAGAGAGGACGGAGGCTCATGGACTTCAAGGGATCGTCCAGGGCCACACCGCTGGGCAGGGCTGGGACCAACAACAAGGCCTTGCCCTCAAGCCCAATGACCTCACCACTGAGCCACTGCAGAGGGACACAGAGATCGGAAGCCAAAGTGGCAGTCAGTGGGGTGCTGGGGCAACACCGGGTGTTCTCCTGGAGCCAAAGGGGGTCTGTGCACACACTGCACCTCGTCGGTCTGAGGCCCGCACACCGCCCTCAACTTCTCTAGACAGCGCTTGCACGTCAGCTGTGGCACACAGGCCCGAGGCAGGGAGCACTGCACGGGGCAGAGGGCAAGAGGCTGGAGACTGGCCGTGACACCCCCGCTCCTGCCCTGTGGGCACGTGCAAGCTAGGATCCAGCTTCTCGTGGGAAGCCTGGTGTCTTCCGCTCTTCTCGTCCGTGTGAAGGTAATGACAGGAGGGCATATTCCCCTGACAGCTGCTGGTGTGGCGCAGGAGCGCTCACACTACGGACAGGGCAGGAGGGAGTGCGGTCCAGCCCGCCAGATGGCCACCCACGGCCCTGCACCGCACCTCTTGGAAAAGTGGGGCTGCAGGGAGCCCAGACGGGATCCTACATACAGCCTCTGACCTTGTGAGGCCTTTGACTCCCCCACCAAAGCCCAGACACCACCTGGAAATGGATCTGGAAGAATGACAAGCAGCAGCAGGCCGCAGGGGACAGGCCCTGGGGGCAATGCAAGGACCTGGCTTTCACCATTAACTCTGGGGCTGGGCTCTCTCGCGTGGTGGGCAGTTGGACTACCTCCCGAGGTCCTGTCCAGCTCGAATCCTTGCTAGGCAGCACAGCTAGAAGGGCCCTCCAGGGCCACAGGTAAAGTCAGAAATTGGGATTTTTATGGGCAATGGTGGCAGTAAGTTAAAACAAAATTTTTTTTTTTTTTTTTTAAACAAGCTCAGGTCCAACAAGACAGAGCCAGGGGCTAGACTAGGGACTGTCGTCATGGAACTTCTGGCCCACCCCACCTCTTCCAGTCTCATTCTCTGGCATGTTCAGACTCACACAAGGCTCTGGGCATGGAGAAGGGGGCGAGGCCCCACGACCAGCCTCCCCCTAGGAAACACACACGCTTCATGTGAGTAAGTAGGGTTCAAGGACTCCGTGGCACCAAGGGTGGCAAGAAAAAGACGACTGCGTGGCCCCCCACTAGACTGTCCCAATCGTCACCGCTGGACAAGCACCTGCACCTCACGGTGACGAATTCAAAGAAGAGACATGAACACTCAGTCTCGGATCTGCGGGTCCTGGCCACTGCTGTACAATGACTGTGGTCACACCTGGCCATGGACTTTCCCGAAATCACTGCATTTCCCCCCAAGTCTTCCTCATCTCCCTTGTGGCCAAAGTAAGAAGCACCACCTGCACAATGTGGGCAGTGCTGAGGCTGGGTCTGCACCCCGCTGTCTCCCCCCGGGGCGCTCTGCTGTCTACACCGAGTCTGGAGACCAGCAGCACACTTGCCAGGCTCCCACCCGCTCTGCGGCCTCTGGGGGTGGGCCCCGGGCCCACGTGTTGACCAATGTGGTCGTTAAAAACAAGGGAGGCACTGGCCCCAGTGAGGGGGGCAGTGTAGGCCCTCCTCAACACCTCTCCGCGGGGGCCAGGGAGCCACAGTCTCAGGTCTGATGGAGAGTGCTGTGAGGTCACGGGCTCTTGCTTCTTCACGCCTCTGAAACGCAAGTTTCCGTGCTCGTGAATGAGTGCTAATACCAGCAGCTCCCCAGGCTCAGGACAGGGTTGAATGAGAAGCACCTTCCTCCCTCCCACTGTCACTCAGCCAAGACAGAGCAGTGTTACTCTCTAATATGTGCTCAGGAGAGAGATAAGCCCACGGCCCACAGAAAGGCCGCTCTCCCGCTCAGTGATCTCTAGCTATCAAAACAGCTCGACATCTCTATGTTCTGATAGGAGAAGGTAAGTGGCACAGGTCAATCACTCCCTCAGCTCTCTGTCGTGGCTCACTTCCTCTACAGCCTCATTTTCTGCATTTACAATGGACTCAAAACCTCCGCCGGGAGGGTTTTGGAAGTCACCGGATCCTGTCCCACACTTGGAAGATGGAGGAAGGGGGCACAGGAGTCTCTGGGGAAATCGGGCCACCCTCCCCCACCAAGAGTGCACAGCTGAGAAGACAGTGAGCGAGGGCCGCACTCGGCCCCCGCCCCTGACGGCCCAAGCCCCACAGCACCGCAGTGGGGCTGTCACTGGGTTCCCGTCACCCACCTGAAATGACCGGCAGGACTCCATCTGGCTGTCCGAGAGGGCCAGCGTGCTCTGGACCAGGTTCTGGAGTACGAGGAAGTGGATGTCATCCACGCTGAGGGACAGTGGGGAGAGGGCAGAGCACATGAGGCTGGGGGCCACGGGCACCACTCAGCCTGGGCAGATGCAGTCTTTATTTAGAAAAAGTGATCCCCCCCAGGTGACCTGAATGCCAAAACTATTCACAAATCCAAACAAAAGAAGTGGTGGTTTTTAAGCCTTACTAACAGGTCAATTTTTGCAGGGAGAAACGTTTTTGCTTAGCAGGTAATGGGCGCCGTACCCTGGACACGGGTTTATGTGACAACTGACGAATGCAGTTAGCGTTGAGATTTTTTTCAACCTGTCTATGAGATCAAAAGTCACGTGCCCTATTTATCAGATCAAGAGTTGTATCCTCTACCAACTGACCTAGCCATGTGCCCCACTTTCCTCTAATCTTAAATTTTTCTCCAAAGAAGCTTCTCACTAAAATAGAACTAAATCAAACTGAACACTGGTTTTCCAACATGGAAAAAAACAGCTGAGCTTTCTAACCAGAGCTATGCGCAGAAAGCTCACGGGCCTGGAATTCAAATCCTTTCCTCCTTAATCCAATTCAACCTGCCTTAAGGCTGGGCCACTGATTCACAAGGCCAGGGTCAGCAAGCTTCTCCTGGAAGGGGCCAGATAAGAAAGACCTCGGACTCAACCTGATGCTCCGGGACAGAAGCAGCACGGACGGCACATGGGTCAGGAGTGGCTGTGCTCTAGTAGAACTTTATTTTCAAAACTTTCAAAAAGTTCTAGTAGAACTTTTATTTTCTAGCGGGCAGGCTAGACCTGGTCCTGGGTGGCCCCTGGGCCGGGCCCCTGGCAGCCCAACCAACCAGCTGAAGGAAAGGCCCTTGGTCAGTCTGGTGCTTACCTGTTCAGTTCATCTTCCTGCCTGGTTGGATCCTTTTCGTCTCCAATGGCCAAAACTCGGTATCTGCGTAAGGATCAAGAGACAAGCATGTCAGCAGAACATGGCTGACCATCACTAACCAAGTGGAGGTTTGCTCAGTGTGGCCTTTCACTGCCTGGAGTGTTGGAGGAAATGTAGAACTCATCAAAACGCAAACAGTGCATGTCAGTTACAATGAGAAAAAACTACGTTCTGCTCATCGAAGGAGCATGTTGTTAAAACGGTTGAGGAAATGAAGAATGTTCATTTTACGGACGGTTATCAAATAACATGGTCAAGTATTTACTGGCAGAGAGCCATCGTTAATCATTAAGGGAAGGGGATCTAAAATCGTGGGCCCGTTATGATAAAAAACAAGCTTAAGAAAGACGTCTGGAAGAAAATACCCAACCAAGAGAGTGGTTGTATTAGATAGCAGATTATCTCCCCATCTGTGTTTCTGAGCTTCAAGTAATGCTGCTTCCTTCTGTTCCTACCAAGGAAACAAACACAAGAGAAGTCCAATGCGCTAGCCATCACGCTACACAGCCAAGCAAGGAAATACAAGAAATCGCAAAACTCAATTTTAAAGAAACATGGCTGTTTGTCTGTAAGACATTTCTTTGGTTTCTATGATCCTAATATCAAAATTCATCCTGGCAACAGTAAATTCTTGAAATTTTCTAATAGGAAAAAGCCCCTTTTCAGAAATGGAACGATTTTCAGTCAAAGTAGTTGGATCCATTTCCTTTTTTGCTTGGCCTGCCAGGATGCTTAAGATCAAATTCAGTTTTTTTTTTTTTTTAAGATTTTATTTATTTATTTGACAGACAGAGATCACAAGCAGGCAGAGAGGCAGGCAGAGAGAGAGAGGGAAGCAGGCTCCCCGCTGAGCAGAGAGCCCGATGCGGGGCTCGATCCCAGGACCCTGGGATCATGACCTGAGCCGAAGGCAGAGGCTTTAACCTACTGAGCCACCCAGGCGCCCCTCAAATTCAGTTTTAAAACTGCTACAGCCGTGGGGCGCCTGGGTGGCTCAGTGGGTTAAGCCTCTGCTTTCAGCTCAGGTCATGATCCCAGGGTCCTAGGATCGAGCCCCGTATCGGGCTCTCTGCTCAGCGGGGAGCCTGCTTCCTCCTCTCTCTCTGCCTGCCTCTCCGCCTACTTGTGATCTCTCTCTGTGTCACATAAATAAAATCTTAAAAACAAACAAACAAACAAACAAACAAAAAAAAACAACTGTGACAACCGGATGAGACATCCTCTCCCAGATAGCTCATGAACTCTCCTTAAAAATAGTCTCTATTTTAACTGTATTTTTCTATAACTAAAAGTTATCCCCATAAATTCACTAAAAATATGTAAGGTTATAAATTACAAACAGGTAAAGCGGGTCATTTGAAGGGCTTTTTAAAACTGAATATAAACCATGCCATTTGGAGTTCTGGGGAACAGCTTGCTGCAAAAACAAACACAAAACACAAAAAACAGTATCAGGTGTCAACTCCGCAAAGGACTATAAATTGCTCCCTAGGCCTGGCATGAGTGGGCACGACATGAATTATTTGTTGGTTGAATCAAAGAACGAGATCTCCAACTGCAATTCAGGGAGCTGACTGCAACTGTATCATATGGTTCCCAAACAGGAACAGATCGATGACCGTCACCTCTACAGGAAGAGATTCATGAAAAATCCAGTGGCCAGAGGGACTGTCTCGATGAGGGTGGTAAGAAGGGCTTCACAATTGGATTAAGCCGTGGAAACAGGCCTGGTTCACAAAACTCAAGATTTCCACATTTCACGGCTTCTGTGCTCAAAGCCAAGTATGTTCTCTGCAGGTGCCCAGCGGCCGAGCTGGAAAGAGCTGGGACGCTGGAGTCAGACCCACTCTCGAAATTCAGATCTTGGCCCTGTGGCTTATAAGCACCGTGGCCTTGGGTGAGCTACTTCTAGCTTGGAGTTTCTTTATATGTCAAAGGAGCAATCCCAGCAAAAGCACACCAATGGCTTGTGGAGGCCTGGGATTAGGTCTCCACGGGAGACAGGGCAAGGCAGCAAGGCCTCCACGGGAGTAGGGAGGGGGCGCCCGACGGGGTGCTAGGGTTGGCAGGGGCCTGCCCATTTTCAAATCGCCCATGAGAGGAGGTGAGGTGGTTCAGAGTCAAGAACATGGCAGGGTTACCTGTAAGGCCATGGAATCTCTGACCAGGGGAGATGCCCGAGGCCGATGACGTTTCCGCCTGCCCCACAAGGATCACACAGAAACCTCCCGAAAGAACCTCACCTGGCAAACAGCTCCTGGAGCGTGTCTGGGATTTCAAGATTAGGATTCTTGAGAGACGAACTGAACTTCTCTTTGAGCTTCTCCACAAATTCTTTAAACTCACTGGCACAAACCTTTCAATGTGAGAGAATGAGAGGTCAAGCTCTCTCTCCCCGAAGGGAGGTTTCACTGGTACATCAAGAAAACCTTGTAACAAACTCCCACAGCAGCAACCTCCCGGAAACATGGACTGAGGAATGTGGCCTCCTCGGCCTCCCTGCCTCCCTGCCTCCCCAGCCTAGAGCGCCTACCTGGGAAGGTGACAGACACCCCTCTGCCCAGGGATTTGGGGGCAAGGAGAATGCTGCTGGCCCTCACTCTTGCCCCACCAGCCGCCACTCCTCCCTCCCAAGCCCCAGACAGGAAGAACCCTGTGGGTCCCCCACTGTCCTTGCAGCCTCCCGTCCCTGCACGTGTCCACCCAGAGAACTCAGAAACACTCACGTCCTATCCTATTTGTCAGCTTTCTGGGGGCGTCCAGCCGTTTGGAATTTCTGAAGAGCTGCCTTATTCTCTTAACGAAATAGGCCCAAGGCCCCACAGAATTGCAAAGCGGTGTGTCAAATTCTAACGGTTTCTAAGAACAGATGCTACAGCCCCATCAGAGGAGGGCCAAAGCCCAAGAACTGAGCCGATTTCCCAGACGTGCAGGGACAATGTCCATATCTGTAAGGCCGGCAGCGGGGCTGTGGGACCCAGACGACCAGACAAGAACCTACACCCCCTGCCTTCAGGGTGGGACGGGCTCAGTGACCACACAGGGCCTACCTTTGGGTCTTCATAGTCACCTTTCCGATTCATGAAATCTCCCACAAGTGCCTTATCCTGGTACACCTCAGCGAGGCAAACCCTGCAGGAAGAGAGGACGAACGTGAGGTCTGGTGTTGTAATGAGTCTGTCTTCAGAACCATGGGGAAGACTCCTGTTCTAACACATCTGGCTTCGGCTGACCACAAGGTATGATTTACTTATACACCTGCTGGCTGATCACAGCTCTTAACAAGGAAGGATCTGGGGTCAGCCAACTCTGACTCAAGTCAGGCCTGCTGCTGCTCACGCTTCACACCTCTGCCTTCTCTGAGCTTCCATCTGCCACATGTAAACTGAGAACAGCGACTCTCGCCTGCCTGCCCTCACAGGTATCCAGCCAGGATCAAACAAGATGCCCTATGTGACAGTATACTGTGAGTTTTAACTACCAGCCAGGCCCCGGTGTTCACTATTCGTCAAAGCCCTCCATGTCCACAGACATCTTCATCTCTCTGTGACAAGAGAGCCTGACTTGCCCAAAAACAAATGCAGGGAAAGGCAACAGGTGTCGGCAGGGTTCCGAGGAGCCGGAGACTCCTTCACAAAGAGCCTGCAAGACAGAGCCTATCATCCCATTCTAGAGCTTGGGGAGACGTAGCTCCCCAAGGTCACACATCCGCTGAGGGCTGGGCCAAGTGGGCCAGGGTGGCCATGACTGGTAGTATCAGCCTGCTCCCAGGTGAGGGAGCCACCTCCAAGTGGACACACACCCTGCGCCAGGCCATAGCCCCTCGTGCTCCCATCCCCCAGCTGCTGCTGCAGGACACAAGGAAGAAGGCCAGGAAGCCCAAGTTCCAGAACTCACTGCACTGCCAAGGCCCTGTCACCCTGGCCAACCCGGATCCTCTCTCTGGGTCTGTTTCCACTCTGAAAAGAAGAGGCGCATGGAGCAGGTGACCAGAGCCCTTTTAGATAGAAGAGTCTAAGACTCTAGAACGGGGAAGGCCCCCGCTGTCTCACCCACTGGCCTCGGCAGACCCCTGGAGACACATCTGGCTGCCACGGCTGGGCGTTCGGCACTGGCAACATGTAGCCGGCAGAGGCCGGAAAAGCCACTGAACAGCCTACAGTGCATAGGACAGCTCCGCTCCGAAGCTATCTGGCCCCAAAGGCCAACACTGTTGAGGCTGAGAAAGCCAGCCAGGGGAAGTTTTCTCCACAATCTGGGGCTGGGCTGTTCCTCTCTACTACTCTGCTGACTGCCCGCGGCCTGAGACAGAGCCAAGCTCTCCCACCGACAAAAGGCAGCAACAACCAGTTGGTGGAAGCGGTCCTTCCCAACCCCGCCCTGTGTCCCCTCTGCATGGATGGTCTCTGGCCTTCTGCACTCAAGCCCGTGCCTGCGGAGGGGGCTGTCAGGAGTCTGACAGGGCGGGCAATGACGCTGTGCCCTGGCCAGGTGAGAATGAGGTGGGCGCAGAGGCCTCTGCCCTCACCGCCCGCTGCTGAGGGGATAATCAGTAAGCCACCTAGCTGGGATGGCCCGTTTCTTCCCAGGTAGCAAAGGAGAACGGCACCTACTTCCCAAGGCTGGCCCCAAGTCCATATGACACCGGATACGTGGAAGGGCCTGGAAGCAGGCCCTGCCCTTGAAAAAAATCACAGACCTGAACCCTGGGACAGGCTACGGCTGAGCAAGCGGACAGGTGGCCGCGCTCTGGATTTCAGAGTGGACTCTTAAGCAAAAGGGAGAAGACTAAAGAACTAGAAGCACAGGAGGAACCTTGGCTCGAAGTTCCGAAAGTCCAAACGAGGCTTACTTATAGTTCAGGTAGGCCTGTGGGTTCTTGACTATGTAGCGAGCTCTCCGTCCGACCGAGTGAGAGGTTTTATCCAGAGACTCTTCGAAGGTGGCGTGCAGGATGTCCCGCACAACCTGCCAGGGGACGAATGGGCCCTTCACCTGCAGCAAACACAAGCCAGGATGGAGAGTCAGACTCCTCAGTGCCTGCGGCCTGAACGGAAAGGAGGCGGGAGGTACGTTCTGTGGCTTCTCATTCCAGACTATCGCCATCTACAGACCGCCGCCTCCGTGCCCCACACCAGTGAGCTGCTAGCAAAGAGTAGGCCAAACCCGCCAAGCCCAGGGGGAGAGGATGTCTTCTGGGAAGTAGCAGGTGCTCAGAGAGCGCTGGGTGCAGAGCCTGGATAGGGAAGGGGGCTTGCTGAAGGAAGGAGGTGGCCCAAGAACCCATTACAACGTAAGCAGGTGAGAGGAGGGTCTGCCGATCTTGAGCTGTACAGGCTCTGCTGGCCCCTCCAGCTGCACGGAGGGGCCTCCAACCCGTCAGTGTTGCGATGAAAAGCCATTGCAGAGGGAAGGAACAGGTAGGAGGGACAACGACACATCTTTAACTTGTTCCCGGGAGAAGGGACTGGGCTGCAATTTAGGAAGGAATGGGGGGGGAGCGCATCTGGGAAAAGTGGTCAAGGAAAGGGATCCAGTGAGCCTGCAGGCAGAGGGCACCCGGGGCTGCTCCTCTCGGCCAGCGTGCTTGAGGACAGGGTGCACACACTGGGCTCGGAGGGAGCCGCCCTACCCAGGCCACCTGGCGGCATTACGACCTAGAAGGGGCCCTGTACTAGGCGATGGCAGAACTTGGTCTCCAGTGACTTCGGTGAACCAGCGCGATTGGACATTTGCTATCTCGATGCTCCCTAGGGCTTGCTACAAACTCAGAAGATCCCAATGGCGCCAAGTGGCGGGAAGAGACAGCCTAGGACAGTGAGGCCGCTCTGGGGAGGAGGGTGAGAAGGTGATGCTGACTCGGGCTACGAGGCCTTCTTGGAGGTAGTGACATTGGAGGAGAGAGGGAGCATGGTAGCCAGGAAGTGAGTTCCTCCCCAGCTGTTGGGGCTCGGGGACACGGGCCAGGAGGACCTGTGAGTGTGGGGGACGGTGGCACGGAAGGGGTGGAGCCAGGCCAAGGCTACCATCACCACTCCACACTAATTCAGTATCCGGTGACCGAGCAGTCCCCATGCAGTTGGCAGCATGCAGGGGACCGCAGCCATGAAAACAAATGACAAGCCTCTCTGCCTTGTGAGAAGCAGCCGCGCCAATGGGCCAACAAGGGCCAGAAGCAAAGGCAGCAGCCCAAAAAGTCCATGTCCACGGGGCGCGGTGAGATGTGGTAATTACTTCCAACTGGCAGGACCACCGAAGCCTTTCCAGAGATGATAAGCAGTTAGGAGAGACAAAGAGGGGAGTTTTCCAGGCAGATGAGAGTGGGAGAAGGGGAGCAGGAAGTGCCAGACTCCCGGTAAAGACAGAGAGACCAACTCTGGGCTGGGTTAGCCTGACCTGGGTGTGCTGGCCCGAGGCTGGAAAGAAATGTGCGCAAACGGGAGTATTCGTTTGTAGGATTCTGGGCAATGTTCCTCCCGGTGGCCAGGCCTAACAGCAGAGAGGAGTGCCCTGCGGGCCACAGGGGGAAGGGGGCTCCCCACGGCGGGGAACGCCATGCAGCGGGTGCAGGCCAGGAAGGCACGGGGCCCCGGGGGCTGAGTACCTTGGTGTTGAGGATGTTGCTGGCGATGCGGCAGAGCACGAGCAGCCCATCTTCCTGCATGGACCAGGTGACCCGCAGCCGGGTCATCCTCTGCAGCGCGCTCTGGTCAGCCTCATCGTGGTAGCGCAGGCTGCGGCTTTTCTCCTGGGGGGACTCTTCTGAGAGTACCAGGGGGAGAAGAGAGAGAGCCTCTAACAACCGGTCTGGAGCTGCCCCTTGGAGAGGGGAAGGGCCCCTACTTGGCTGGGGACATCTGATCAAGGGCATCGGGAGCCAGATAAACTAACCGCATGAGACTCGGGCCTGGAGATACATACATACTTTTATTTTTATCTTTTAAATTTTTTTCTTTTTACCCCTTTGGTCAAGTTTCATGGGGACAGGCGGGAGGCCTGAATGCAGCCTGCCAATCTCCAACTCTTCCCACTGTGGGGCTAGGCGCTCTGAGGGCATCCGGGGATCGCTCTGGGCCCCCACCATTCTCCGATGTTGTTGCCTGAACCCTGGGGCACCGTGGCAACAAGGCACAGCCCACAGGGTTGCCTTGAGGCCTGAACCGGACTGGGTATAAAACACCAGGGCGGTCCCAGGCGCCAACGTTTTGGAATATTTACTGTGTGCCAAGCACCGCTTTAAGCTTTTCACATATGACAACTCATAATTAAAAATACCACTTCGCAGAGCGCCTGGGTGGCGCAGTTGGTTGAGCGTCTGACTCTTGGTCTGGGCTCAAGTCAGGATCTCGGGGTTGTGGGATCAAGCCCCTCATTGGGCTCTGTGTTTAGCGTGGACTCTGCTTGGGATTCTCTCCCTTTCCTCTCCTTCTGCTCCTCCCCCCACTGCCCTCGAACACACACACTCTCTCTCTCTACAATGAGTAATAGAATCGTTAAAAAAAGATACTACTTTGCACCAGCCCTAAAAGGAGGCAGGTGTCATCCCCATTTTGTAGCCGAGGAATCTGAAACACAGTGAGATACAGTGATTTGCCCGAAGTCACACAGCCCAGTCGGTAGCAGACATGGGATCTGAACCGTGAGCTCGTAGCCACTAGGTTTTTTCAATATCTCCTCCCCTCGGGGAGACACTGGAGGCAGTTTCACAAGGTAAACACCATATGCTACTGCCCATTCCAAGAGACTATTTGCTTGGGAAGTTTTTCCAAATTAAGGCAAAAGAAAAGTAGGGTGTGAACATTTGGGATTCCAAGGGACACCACCGTATTTTGCCTTGTGATGAATTCAGGCCTCTGTGAGCCAAACTGATCTCATGCGTATCTGGACAGGCTGAGCTGAGGGGGCCTTTCCAATGGACACAAGGCTATTGGTATAAACATCAGCCAAAGAAACCACCAAAACCAGGTTCCCGTTTAAACATCCTGTTCTTGTCTGAAAGCGCTATCGCTATGAGATTGTTGGTACGACACACAGACCACTTAGAGGGTGGAAAGGTGGTCGAAGAAACATGCTGGTCTCCTCACTGTCCTCCTGCCATCCTTTGCTACAAAGACTTGCCCAGGTGAAGATTCCAAAATGGCATCAGACATGCCTCAGGGCTTCCTGAGATTCGAAGAGTTTCTGCAGGCCTGACCGACTCCAGCCTTTCCTCTAATTTGCAAACATAATATGACTTTGGCCTGATTAACGTCATGCAGACATTAAAAACCAAACACAGGGAATGACATGATATCACTGTGATGAGGATTTCTGCCAAAGACTTTCCAGTTTCCTCAGGTGAGGTTAGAAAAATGAAGTGAGAGGGGTTTCCAAGGGAGAAGACCGAGAAAGCACATGAGGAGCTCGCAGATCTGTCTGCCAGCTCGACGCGGGGGACAGATCGGCAACCACGCAGCACGAGGCCCCCAGATGGCGGGGAAAACAGAACCCTGAGTCTGAGGGCAGAGGTCACAGTGGCCGCAGAGCCATGACTGCCTGTCTCCAGGCCGGGGGTACAAGACAAGGCCCAGCAGACACAAACGAGTATCATGAAACCTTTTCTCTTTCTCTTGATCTTCTTTCCAGGGTCCCTCTTCAGCCGCTTACGCTTCTGACTCCGTCCGCCCCTCACTCTCCGGTTCCTGTCCAGCGTGGGCTCTCGGTCCATCTCGAACTGCTCTTCCCGGTCAGCGCAGAGCCCGGCTCCCACTCTGGCTTCCCCCCAGATGTTCAACCTGCCGGTGCCTAGAAACAAGCACGAGAGGTGGGCGTCTAAGGACGAGCCCTGCAGGGGCCAGAGACCCAGCAGAGCCTGCCATGGTCTGTAGTCACGTGGCCTGTGCTGGCCCCACGTCTGTTTCTGGGGTGAACGCGCCCCGCACACGTACCTCCGGCACTGAGTGGCAATGGGCGCTTGGACAGAAACGTCTGGAGCCTCACCATGAGCCCATTTTCAGAAGCAGTGTTCTCCTAAAAGGCAAGTGCAGCCCTGGAATGAAGCAGGGGCTTCCCCGAATCCCCAGGGGTCCAGAGCATCAGATGCTCAGAGCTGTTTAGGTTTCTGCAAAGGCCGGGCTGGGGGTTGGGGGACAGGCTGCTCTAGGAGCTGGGCTGCTTCTGGGCCCTCCCTCACGTCTGACCTCTGTCTCACGTCACAGAATCGGTTAGAATGCACTGAAAAGACCGAGGTTGGGCCAGATCGATACACCTACCATACATGTGAAAATAAATATTTAGGCCTCTGGTCAACTGCTGTTCTACCAGTTCAGAAGCAGTGAGCCAAGTCGAGTGAGATGGAGAGGGATGGGTAGCTCTGGCAGCTCCTGGTGGGGGGAGGGGTGCCCGCCCCCCCCCCAGGACCCACCTTCCTGGCCTTGCTGATGATGTAGCTGGTCCAGATCCAGTTGCGCTTTAGGTGCCCATAGAAACTGGAATCAAGCCCGGCGGCTCCCAGCCCGTCCCCGGGGATCAAGCCTTCATCCACAACTTCACGGCTTCCCCTGAGGGGCAGGAAAAGAAGCAGAAAGAGAGCCCCTCTTGGGAATCGAAAAGGGAACCCAAGACATGGGCGAGGGTATTTTTTCTTTTACCAGTAATACCCAAGAGAAGCAAAGCACTTGTCAATCCGCCAGACAGGTAAAATTCCCAATTTTCACATTTTGGTAACTGATTTTTTGGAACAATATGGCCCATGGACACTAATCTGCCCCACAATCCCAGAGCCTGGGACAGTCCCGGGCTGCCATGCGGAGCCAGACTCAGAGGGGCTGGAGCCCCTGGGGCGCGAGGCGCCGTGTCCCCACACTTGGGGGCAGTGCGTGGACACACTTGTGTGTGGGGGAGGGACGCACGTGGTGTACTCCATCATGGCGCATTTGCGCTCCAGGTTGTGCTTGTCAATGGCACTCTCCTGCTCCTTTTGCAGACTGCCCTCCTCATCCAGGCCCTGGTCCTGCGCGCTGTTCTTCCTGACACGCGGGTAGCGCACCACACCTTGGGAAACAAGACACAGGCATCCCTGACGCCACCGTGCGGTGGCGGCTCTGCACGGCCATGGCGCGTGGCTGTGGCTGAGAGAGAGATCCCGCTCCCCGACTAGAGGACGGGCTCTGAAACTGGCAGAACATCCTCTTCGTAGGAATGCGTTCTCATCGATATCAGAGGGTGACCCCGAGGGAAGGAGCTGTACTCTGGCTGACTTCCGCTAAGCAGGGAAGGTAAGCTGGTAACAGAAGAACCCGACAGGGGTGGAGAATCAGGAGCAGAGGAGCCCCGAGGCTTCCTTCCTCCGGGGAAGCCTGTGGAGCTCCCGGGCACCCGCACAGAGGGAGCGGGAAGGAACACTGACGCACGTGGCAATGGCTGCAGGGTCAGTATCAGCAGGGAGTGGGACCAAGAGCTCAGTGCGGGGCGGGGGGGTCAGTTTCCCTGGGCCCAGTGGGGGCCCGGGGGGCAGCCAGATGTTTCCTGCACACCCAAGAGGTGCATTAACATAGCTGAGAAATCACATGCTGTGAATCCACAATAAAGAACACTGCCTTTCTTGCAAGAATTTCTAAACCACACTCGACTGCTGCTGGAGTCAGACAAAGGCAGGCTACGGAGATTCACAGGGTACCAGCGACCGTCTTCTAACACCCTTGACGGCAGACCTGGGTGGGGACTGGCTGGGGGCGAAGGTGCAGAGGAGAGCCCTTACCCCACAGCTCTCAGCGGAGTCTACATAAGACCCCATGTTCCAGCTGGGCTTCAGCCCATAAGGGGGCGAGGCTGCTGTTCCCAGCTTAGAAATGAAGAGAGGCGAAGTTCACAGAGGGCTTCCAAGGGGGCCTAATGAGCCTGGGAGGACCTGAGGCCATGCTTCTCCTGTGTGTCACCTAGCTGTTGTGTCCGAATGCAGACGGAGGTCATCCCCACACTGCACAGGGCCAGGAACCCGCGCTTCAACGGGCTCCCTGGGTGCTTCCGGCACACGCCCATGCTCAGCAAGCCTCCTGCTCGAAAGGATGCTCACGGCCTGTTATATGGTGCTTTTCCCTCAGTCCTCGGGGCAGAAACTCCTTGAATGTTTGTTGAATGAAAGGACCATCGATGCCTGATGAATAGAGTCTCAGCCTCCCCCATTTCTGCTCATGAACGCTAAAAGGGATGGAAATTCACCAATTGTCAAGCCTCAACAACTCTGGTGCAAATAACATACTGGTCCACAAATTTCTATCTGGGTATAAAATGCAGGGGAATTAGGGCACTCTAAAAATCTGAAATGGTAAAAGCCTAGCTCACTGAATGCCAGAGGCTTCTATGAAACACACAGGTCTAAAAATCTGTCCAGACCCATCACATTAAAGGTTCTACGTAGAGGGGCTCGTTACCCTGCCAGCACTAAGTAATTCTACCAAATAAATGTGGGGCTCCTGCTTTGCAAAAAGCGACGCTCAGGACTGATCTTTTGGCACTGACAGGAGGAAGGGAAGAGGGCTCCTCTCCCAGGGGCAGACTGGATGTGCCATTCCTCCTCCTTGCAGAAGGGGCGAGAAGAGACCAGATGGAATCTGGCTCAGAGGGCAGAGCAAGGATCTATGGCCTTCACACACCCTCCATCTAGTCAATCAACATTTATGGGACGTCGACTGTGTACCAGGCACTTTGGGACACCAGGGGAGGGAAGTCCAATTTCCTGGGCCCAAGGAATCCCGAGAAGGAAATCAGAAGACAGCATAAGGTGCTGGAAAGGCTTTCTCAAGAGTCAATGCTCGATGTAGGCGTGGCCGCTGCCAGGTGGACACAGGTCAGGGGATATTCCAAGGACAGGAAGAAGACGCAAGCTAAGGCCTTATCCCCAAACCCAACTCAACCGACCACCTGATCTGCTCATTTCTTCAACTCCAAAATATCTCCCTCGCCAAATAAACCAAAAAACACAACAAAATAAAAAACAAAAAACCCCGAACAAACAAAAACCAAAACACCCTACAAAATACCTCCCAAGTGCCCCCCTCCCTCATGGTCACCAGCAGATGGCTCTCTCTTAGGGAAAAGTCATGGCTCGGCTTCTGCTCTCGGGCCCTCAGTCCGTTCCCCACCCAGCAGGCAGGGCGGACTTCTCCCTGCTCTTAGGACAAAGTTGGCGCCAAGTTCTGCAAGGCCCCCAGCATCTGACTCGCCCCCACTGCTCCTCCAACTGCAGATGCCACTCTTCCCCCAGCCACGCCAGCCTCTCCTGTCTCTCCCACAAAACACTTGCTGTGGCCGTGCCTGTGGGGCCCATCCCCAGCTCTGGGCTCGGCTGGCTGGGGCGGGGACGGCTGTGATGGGGCAGGCCCAGGAGATGCCAGACACAAGGTGCTCGACAAATTCCTACTGAATGCACGAGTGAATAAGGACCAAGCAGAGTGATCTGGGTGAAATGTGTGTGGGGGTCTGGGAGTCCCCCATTCAGAGCCCACCGCCCTCCTTTCTAAGGCAGCCCCAAGGATACTCTAGGTGTCCGGGGAGTGGTATGAAAAGCAGCAGCCGCTTCTAGGGTCCTCTCACCAGGAACCCCGGCGATGACCCGGGAAGCAGGGGGAGCGGCGGGGTCCCACCCAGAGCCACAGTACCTAATGGGGTGTTGAGACAGACACACTGCAGATCGAACCAGTAGTTCTCCACGTCCTGCATGGAGTTCAGGACGTACAGACGCCTTTCGAAGGGCCGGCTGCTGTGGGCCAGGTTGTAATGCGGGTCACAGATGGTGGTGTCAACGATGACCGCGTTCTTCTTCAAGAAAATGAAGACCTAGAGACACGTGGACAGGGCGAAGAAAGAACCTCAGAACCGCCGCAGGTCAGCCGCCCGGAAACCTCTCAACCATCAGGAACGCCATTCACTCGGGCGTAAGAGACGTTACCTGGTCTTTATCCTGAAACTTTTCCGTGGGGCCGAACTGCAGCAGCCCCATGTGGCACAGCCTCTGAAGGTTCTCCACCACAGAAAAAATGTAACGTCTGGAAAACAGAGGGCGGGGTGGGTTCCAATTGTCACACGCTCGGTGGTGGTCAGAGGGTCTGTGTCTCGGCTGAGGGATGCCACTCGCTCGTGGCCACCCCCTTCCAGCTCGTGGGTGCTGGAGGACTGGCCTCGGGCCGGCCTGGCGAGGAGAGCCCGATTCTGCCCCTTCCCAACACCCAGCCAGGGAAATGGAGCCTCGATCCTACAGGGGAACTGATTCCCAAATGCAGGAGGCAAAAGGGAAGCCCCTCCCCAATACTTGTGCTCTTCATCGGCAGACTGTAGGTTCTTTTAACCTTGAAATGCAGTAATAAAACTCACCAGCCTGCACCTCATTTGCCCCTCTGCTTTATCCACAAGGCTCCTAGGACCGCTGAATGAAGGAGAGCCTCGTGTCTTTACGATCTGGCAGGCAGAACTGTTCCCATTTCCTGGTGAACGATCACCCAGGGCCCTTGCTTCAGGCTGCCTGCCGGACCCTCGGCCAGTCCGCGTCTACCCCAGGAGCCTCACCTCTTGTACAGGAGCTGTTGCCGGACGGGCCTGGGCAGGAAGCGGATCAGCGTGTGCTTCTTCAGAGGGTCGTTCAGAAACTCCTCAAGGTCATCTACCTAAGAGGTCATATTCAGGATCAGCTCACCCTCAAGTCCAGGGTCAATGACAAGAATCACGCAATATACGCACCACTTTCTGGGCAGTCATCTCTGAACCCATTTTCTCCTTTTGCTGTATTTACCAAATTTCTAAAACATACTTTATTGTTAAAACATAATTACTTGTCTGTCTTTCAATCTGTCTGACTGCACTAACTCTAAGAATACGTCTTTCAAGTATTTCCCTTGACCTACCAGGCAACCATACACCTATCCAATCATTTATCTATCTATCTCTATCCATCCATCCTGTCTATCCTCCCTCCCCATCTATCCATCCATCTACCCATCCTTCCTTCTATCCACCCACTCATCCATGCTTCCAATCTGTCCATCTATCCATCCATTCTTTCCACCATCTCTCTCTCCATCACCTATCCTCCCTTCCTTCCTCCCTTCCTTCTGTCCTTCTATGCACCCATCCATCCATCCACCCAACCATCTCATCTCATCTTTTCCTCCCACCCTCCATCCATGCATCCAGAGAACTGCAAGTCTTGAAGTATTTTCCCTTGACTGGGTGAACATAGGTTTTCTGGCCTACAGCTGAGGGACTAGCGCCCACAACAGCCCCAGGAGTCATCAGTACCTTATAACTGACTTGCACAATCTGAACAAAGATGGAGAGGGGCAGGCAGAGAAGAATGTCACTGACGAGGGCCCAGCCGAAGCCAAAGTCCTTGTGGACTGGGATGGGAGGGACGTAGCGTTTCCACGAGGCTTCATCCACATATACTAGGAGAGAATCAGGGTCAGTGCCACAGGAAAGGTCCCAATCATGGCGGAGACATGACATAGTCCCAGCAGGTCCTGACTCCCTCTCATCACAAACTTGGGTGAAACCCTTCTTGTCAGGGTTGAGAAGGTCTAGATTACGACTTTCTTTTGATCAGGGCACTGTGGGGATTCAGCCGGTTCAGATGCTCAGGAGGAGGAGGCACTAGGACTCCTCTCAGGACTCCACTGGGCGTGCCTGCCTTGGGAGCACCTCACCTTTCTCCGTGGGGAGCTCCACTTCGGTCTCCAGGATGGTTCCATCTTGCCGGTCCTTGGGTGGGGCATCAGAGGAGGCCCCCAGGTCACTTCTGGAGGAGGGCGGGACTCCCATCCTGCCTGGGTCCTGCCTTCTCCTCGTACTGCCGAGGCCCGGCTTGTCCCCCAGGCGGCTGGTGGGATGCCCGTAGATTAAGTACCACAGAAACATGTGTATTGCCCGCAGGCGAGGCATTTTGGGCAGAAATCCTAGAGAGCGGCCGAGTCCTGGAACTGAGGTGAAAGAGCGGGGAGGGCAATGCTTGAGAACTCCCACCGATTCACTCCAAAACCACCGAGTGCCTCTATGTCCCACGTGCCAGGGAGACAGCTCACATCCTTACTCTCACCGAACTTACTTTCCAGGGCAAAGGGCACAAATAACAAGATACTTAGAATCATGTATCAGAAAACAAAGTGAGGAAGGGGGAGGAGGGCCGTAATTTCACCTAGAGGACAAGCAAGGTCCTCAAGGGGGCAGGGTGAAGGCACGCAGGTACCTGGGGATATGCCCTCCCGGGGACAAGCGCGAGGTGCTGGAGACATGTATGTGCCCGGCACGTTTAAAGGCGGGTCGGGAGGCCGCAGTGATGGGTGCGGCAAGGGAGGAGGAGGGCGCAGCAGGTAAGCTGGAGTGTGATGGAGAGGGACATCCCTGGAGAGGGCCTGCCAAACCTCCACACAGGGCACCTGCCCCGGCTTGATGGGGCTGTGTAAAATACCCCCATTTCTAGGTTCTTTGAAAGCATCCTGTTTGTTGATACAAATGAAGTCTTGCCTGGCTTTTCCCAGGGAGAGAAGCCAGGTGAGGGAGCAGGGAGCCACAGGAGCAGGGGGAGAGGACGAGTGGCCAGGAGGCCCTCCTCCACCCCCATGCCCGCTGGAGGGACACATGCACCATCTTCTGTCTGCGCAAGTGCAGGCACTGGTCGGCTGCACCTACTCCTGCCCGGGACAGCCTCTCAGGGCCTAAGCCCAGAAGACGGAAGGCAGGCTGCCCTGCTAGGACAGGATGTGCAGAGAGGGAGGTCACACAGATGGCCTCTTCTGCCTCGGACTGCAGGTCTCCGGGGCCATGTGCCCCCAACCAGGACACAGTCTATGCCCTGTCGAGTCACCTCTGTCCTCCTGCGCCAACGTGCATGTTTATGGCCAGGAGAGGTGTGAAGCTGCAAAGCGCCCCCCCACCCCCGCCCCGCCTGGGCCTGCGGCACTTGCCCCGCACATGTTCACGTTGGAGCGGCCTGGTGGGGGCCCAGGGAGGAGGCAGCCCCGTCAGAGAACAGACTCTGGGAAAATCATATGGATGTTCAAAGTCCTCAATGACCATAACTACCAGGAGGGGTATGAGGTCAGGAGAAACAGATTTTCTGTAGCTTAGCGAACATTCCAGCCCAAGGACACTGAGCAGAAGGAACTCACCTTTGTGACTAAATCCTCATGTTAGCTACGACCTAGCACAGTTTCACCCAAGCCTCCTGACAGCCCTGTGAAGTATGCAGGGCAAGAAGCATGCCCACTGTGCAGATGGAGAAACTGAGGCCAGCGGCGGCCATGGTACCAGCACCCCCATGACCCAGCTAGTGACTGAGACCTGCTTCTTCCAACTACAGCCCCGCACCAGAATGTGGCATGGCAAGTGACTCAAACGTCGCCATGCAGACAACCCAGGGAGCGGTGCCGGACGCCAACGGGGGGCCGCTTGTTTACCTATAACAGGGTTGTAATTTTTCAGCTGGGTGATGCCCATCTTCTCGTCAGTTTTCTTCACCCGTCCGCTTTCTGGTTTAGAGGAAGCGTTCGGCTGAGAGTCTCCTGATCCGCTTGGACCCTCTTTTCCTTGACTTTCGTCTTCAACCTCTTGAGGTGCAGGAGGCTGGGGCACCTTCACCCTGCAGTTCAAATACAAGATCAATAGCATGCTGGGAGAACGAGGACTGGGAAGGAGGGCATGGTCCGCCCTCGGGAATCAGACGCAGCCACTGGACCCTGGAGTTTCACCCTCCCCTGCCTGTCGAAGGCAAGCAGATGACATGAATGAAAAAAATGCATCGGGTCACTGGACATTCGGGGGTGACAGGGGCTGTGGGGACCTGCTGAGGGCACCCCCACCTACTGGCCAACCGCTACCTTGTAAGAAAGGTAGCCAACGTGCTGGGTCCTCTGACACTTTCAGAAATGCCAGAGATCTGGGGCGCCTGGGAGTGGCTCCGTCCACGAAGCATCTGACTCGTGACTTCGGCTCAGGTCATGATCAAAGGGTGGTGAGATCGAGCCCTGTGTCAGGCTCTGTGCAGCAGGCAGCCTGCTAGAGACCCTCCTTCTCCCTCTGCCACCCCCCCACCCCTGCTTGCATGTTTTTAAAAAATATATTAAAAAAAAAAAAAAAAAAAAAAAAGAAGTGCTAGATATCAAGAATTGATGTGAAATCCATCAGCAACCCAGTTCCGAGTACATAAGCCAAGGTCTGCGATCCCCATGGAACCCTGTGCCTGCCCATTGGCCACATCCAGTTTAAGCTCAGCTAAGAATTTTCTTCCGGCCCTGAGTTTTCTCAGTCCGTGAGATAGTTTATGGACAAAATTAGAGAAGGCCTCAGAAAGGCAAGTAGGCTCACTGTGAGCCGTCAGGAGACCGAATGATCTTCCTACTTCACAGGGCCCGTGAGTCAGAGTGCTCTGCCAACACCATTAGGCAGAGTGGAATGAAGAACGTTAGGCCACTTTTTTTTTCCCCTTAAAAGTCCAGAAATTGGGGGCACCTGGGTGGCTCAGTCAGTTAAGCGTCTGCCTTTGGCTCAGGTCACAATCCAGGAGTCTGGGAATCGAGCCTTGCTATAGGCTCCCTGCTCGTGGGGAGTCTGCTTCTCCCTCTCCCCCACTCCTCTGCTTATCAAGCTTGTGCTCTCTCTCTCTCAAATAAAATCTTAAAAAAAAAAAAAATCCAGAAATTGCTCCTAAACCTGTGAATACACTGGTCTTGCCTGAGTATAAAGGGAAAAAGTGCTATGGGCGGGGACACAAAGACCAGGCAGCTTGCCCGTGGATTCCTGTGGGGGGCCACCACTTGCCTGTTTGCTGTGCTGGAATTGGAGATCCGGAAACGGACCTGCTCGATGGCACTTCTCACCAGCGGGTCATTCTGATCCATGGACGGGTGCACGACCAGATCCACCTGTGGAGTGAGAGGTCAGAGTGTCCCAGAAGGGCAGGGGAAATGCTGAGGGAGCCCTAGCTCTGCACCTCACTTCTCGGTGGGTGCCACCTGTTCTCATTAACATTTCCAAGAGATGTCTGGGACCAAAATGAAAGGGCCATTATGATTTCTGGCATCAAAATTCCTCGAGCTCCACCGTCGGAGACACGCTGCTCAGCTCAGGGGAGGAACGTCTGCCCTGGAAAGAGAGCAGCCCGCCTGGCAGTCCCCCGGCTGGGCTGTCCTGGCCCCCGGCCTCTGCCGCTACCTGGTGGCCCGCTCCTGCTACCCCAGTGCAGCTATCTGAGAATTTCCCATAGTCGCCCGCGAGTCCTGAGAGCTTCCATCTGGAAAAGGTAAGCAGTTTTCATTAATCTCCCCTTGCTGAGAGTGCCATAGTGGGACTCCTGCCAGGCCCGCATCTAAACCAACTGGTGGAGGATTTAGAGCTTCTTTTGTTCTCTTCCCTCTCCCAGGGTACTGAAGCTGAACAGTTCTGGTGGTGACCACTGCACGCGTGTTATCTGGGGTGACAAAGGGAAGAGCTTGGTGGAGATGAGAGGGGTGCGAGGGTGGTGGCTGGGTGAGAGATGGGAGGCATCACGGTCACAGCCCCTGGAGAGCCAGGCCTTTCTTCCATCTCTGCTGCTGGCAGGACAGAGCAAGGTCAAGTTTCCTAGATGGATGGCTCTGGCCAGCAGGCCTCATGTTGACAGTGGCCCAAGGGGAGAGGTGGCAGATGGCAGGGAATGGGGAGTACCACCAGGATGGGGACGCTTCACCCGCACCCTGCCAACTTTGTGGGGATTCTGCGAGGCTCTGGTGAGATACAGTTAGGCAACACCTCGGAACGCTTACACGCACTGAGCAAATACAATGCATTCCCATTTCCCACGGGCAACGGCCCAGCGGCCAGCCGGCTCCCTGACGGCCCAACGGGCAGGACGCAGGAGTGAAGGCCAACGGTGCCCTTGTGTCTGAGGTCTTGGGATCTGTGGTGCTTACGCCTGGCGCTCTGTCCCCACCCTCTCCCTCCACACCACCTGCTGGACACTAGGGCCGACAGGAGCTGGACACACAGCGGATGCCCGGGCCACTCCTGGACTGGGGGAGACTCTCTTGCCCTCCTCACCGTCCTGAGAAGGCCACCCACCCCCTCCTAAGTAACTGCTCAGAAATCTGAGGAGCTGCGGCTGAGGGGTGGGGGCTTTGGCCATTCAATGAGAGGGGTCAGCACAAGGACCACCCCCCTCCACGAATGCTCCAGGGGAGGATTGACAGGCTGCCAGGGGTTGGGGGCAGGGGAAGGAGAAGGGCAAGGTCATGGGGACTGAAAGAGCAGATAGGAAAATGATGAGAGCTGGCAACCCAGAAGGGCAGAAACGGTGTAAGTCATTTCTCACGCAGCTCTGTTTCTCAAAACCGAAAAATAAGATAAAGTACAAAAGCAGAAATGACCTTGCCAGCTTATTAAGGAAACGCCACATCAAAGCACAGCTTTCTTAAGGAAGAGATTTACAATGCAGCGACAAAAAAAGGGTCAGCCAAGGGACGCCTGGGTGGCTCAGTTGGTTAAGCGGCTGCCTTCGGCTCGGGTCATGATCCCAGCGTCCTGGGATCGAGTCCCACATCGGGCTCCTTGCTTGGCGGGGAGCCTGCTTCTCCCTCTGCCTCTGCCTGCCATTCTGTCTGCCTGTGCTCGCTCTCTCTCTGACAAATAAATAAATAAAATCTTAAAAAAAAAAAAAAAAGGGTCAGCCAATTACCAGTGCCTGTCCCTGCAGCACCTTCCCTCTGGTCCCTGGGCCCGGCGGGGCTCTCTCCAATTACTCTGACCCTGAAAACTCTACGCCTTAAGACACATGCAGAGCTGTGAGCTCCAGTTGCTATGGGAATGGCCCCCAACCTTAAATTTCATAGAAATGGATAAACTCAAGATAGAAGATCTACGGGTGCTCAGGGCATCCTGAGTGACCGCCGGCAATTCCTTGGGGATATTTCCTTGCATCTCCGTGGAAATCATTATTGGTGCCCTAGTCTACACCTTCCACCTGATACCCGTAGCTGAGTCTCTGCCAGCAGGCTCTGCCAGACTCTGATGTGTCACTCAGGGTGGGCCTGGGCGCCGGACACCTGCTCTCGGGCCTACACACGCTGCCCCAAGATCCAAGCACATTATCCTGCCTTTGCGTTTCCAGCCTCCCCAGGAAGCCGGCAAGGCCCCTGCTCTCCAGATGAGGAGGCACAATGTGCAACTGAGTTACTGGCAGCAGTGGAACAAGTGATATCAGACGAGGGCAAGAGGAGCCCGACGAGGAAGCCTCCGAGAGCAGGAGGCCGGCGTGGGGGGCGCCGGGGGAGCCTGCACCTTCTTCTTGATGCCGTCCTGGATGACCGTGGTACGGTACAGCCTCAGGAGGCCCTCCTCGGACAGGTTGCGCACCAGGCGGACGATGGACTTCTTACAGCACTTGGTGGACACGCCTTCTTGCTTCTCCTGATCCATGATCATTTTCTGGATCCTGGGGTGTCACACAAGAAGAGGTTAGTATTCCCAACAATCTCATCACAAGGCGGCTCAAGAGAAGCTGGCACTCACAGCAGCTTCCCGTGCTGACCCTTCCCCAGGGGAGCTAACGGGAGCTCGTGATTCCTGAGGACGACTTGAGGGGGCGGGGGGGGGGGACCCTGAATGCCGTAATGGAGATCTGTCTTCACCCTGTCTCCATGCTCATTTAACTCCCAGACAGGTGGACCAGGCTCCTGCAGTCGACACTCAGATCCGACTGGAGGGTGCGCAGCTCTTTCTGATTCCTCTCCTTGTGCAGCCCCCACTCTAGATCTTACCAAGGGACCGCAGGGACATTTCCAGGTCACAGATTACTGAACGGCAGGGCCAGCAGGACGTGAGGAAGGCCCAGCCGAACCTCTCATGGCACTGAGGGCAGCACTGTCTCTAACTGAGGCCTGGGGAGATTGTCTGCACACAGTCTCCCCAGGCCTCAGTTAGAGAATTAGGATGAGGCCCACCGGCCAAGCACAAGGCTCCTTCTAATTGAGCGGCTCTGATGCTGCTGCCTCAGAAGCCAGATGTGGCCAGGAAGCGGTGGTGATGGTGGGTTAGAAGGACCCCCACGGGGCAGGAGGCCCTACGCGCACAGAGCGCACAGAGCCAGCCCAGACACACATGCTCTACCTACATCTCTATTTCTGCTTTCACATCCAACTGTATCTGAGCCAAATGCTCCACGCAGAACTAAGAACAGTTAGTAAGCTGATGTTATTAGTTGTCCAAGTTTCTTCTCTAAGGAAAGAGAAGGGCCCTGCACCTCCCCTCACCTTCCACTTCTCGCTCCCTCAATCTCCCCCCGTCTAGGGCCTTGACGTTCCTCAGTGTCTACACTTTCCGAATCACCAGAACAAGTGCTAAGCCTTCCCTCCTACACGGGGCAGCTAGAGGAATCTTCTGACTCAGAAGCCGCTCGGTCATTTCCATGACTTGTGACAGCCAGCTGGCCTGAGATACACCGTGAGCACAGACAGACGGACGGACGGCCCCTTACGTGAACAAGCTCTCGATTAAGCGCAGGTTGGTGACGGCTTCTATGATCAGGTTCCTGCGTTTGAGCAGCCGGTAAGTTTCGTGGGGTTTGTCTTGGCCTGGGCCATGCTTCCCTGTCTTCTGAGAACCGCCGCTCTCCTAGAACAGGGACCGAGAGAGTGAGAACACAACGGGCTCAGTGCGGTCGGGGGCCAGACGCCATCCCCGTGGGCGTGCTTTGCCTCTTTAGGCAGTTTCTATGCCCACGTTTCAGGAAGGAAGAGTCAAGAGGACCATGTGTCTCTGGGAATATCGGACAGAAGCAGGGGTGGGCTGGGTTCATGCAGTTGCCCCTAGTACGTTAGGATGTGTGCCAAAGGAAAGATAAGGGGAGAAGAAAAGAGCTCTGTCCCCTTCCTGCCAAAGTGCCCACGGTTCTCTTCATGGCTCCTGTCTTCTAAGAGCTTCCGTGAACTCGTTCCATGTGCCCTTGGGGCAGATTTGTTCAAGCCCCTGCGTGTCCCAGGAAGGAGGGAAATCCTGACTCCAGCAGATTTCCCGCACATCACTTGGCACGAATGAGCACCCCATGGTGGCCCAGGGCCCCCTGTGCCGGACACCCTCCTCACTCAGAGCGGTGCTTTCCGGAGAGTGAGAACAGCCAGCCCCAGATCACTTCCCTGCCGAGGGCCGGGGCTTCAGGAGAGGCACGGTTCTTTCCTGAGGGGGGACCAGCTCCAAAGGGTTCAAGATTCAAGAAGAGGCTCAGGAGAGAGACCTCTGTGCTCTCTTGCACCGAAGCGAACATTCTGGAGGGGAGCCGCATGAGCAGCATGGCCACTGCCAGGGCGGGGGATCGGCTGCTGGAGAGCAAGGTGAAGACATGCTTGGCCAACAGTCCTCCAGATACGGCCTTCATGCCCTCCTCTCAGCACGTGGCAGAAAGAAGGACAGCGTTCTTCTGTTACTTGGGGAGCGGATTTCTAAGAGGCAGAGAAAGAGCTGAGCCAGGTGGCAAGCAGAGGAATTCTAGGACCTGGAGGAAGCGTGCATGCACTGGAGACATGTGAGCCTGAGCAGAAGGTGCCAAGGGGGTGGGGGTGGGGGTGGGGGAGCGGGGAGCAAGGCAGACCCTCCAGAACCTGCTGGCATCCACCTGCTGGCAGGTTTTTTCAGTGCAACACAGTCCCAACCGGGACTTGAGAAGTTATGCCATCCAAAGATGAGGAAAGGGCTATGAGTTTCTAGAAAAATCCACAGAAAACCTTTGCAACCCCACGCTTCATCGCTTCTGTTGTAAGGCTTGTACCAAAAGCAAAGGCCTCCATGCCAGCAAGGGAGAAGCAAGGGGGGAGCTGCACACACGTGGGTTCTGGTCCCTACTTTGCATCCATCAAGCAGGCAAGTCACTCACTCCCCAGGGGCCTCCCGGGTCTTGTCCTGGCCGAGACCCAACATTGACCTCAAGGAGTGTCATGAGGCCTCAGCAAAAGAGCAGAACAGCCTTGAAAGCCACCCCGATCCCAGCCATGCCCAGTGCAGGCTGCCTCATCCTGACGCTGTGCTGCTGAAGCCGGAGGCGCCACTGGCGGGATCCAAGGCACGTTCAAGTGACAAAGGACGGCCTAAGGTGAACTGAATCACATCACGAGAGCGGCGCTCCTGTGTCAACTGCCTTTTTAATCCTTCTTATTATGCTGATGAAAAGCATTTGATTTTACTGCATCCTTAAAGCCGCGACCCCCAACAGCATCTGGCCAGAACGTACTGAACAGTTTCGGTTTTCCTTTATCTATTTTATAATTACCTTCCTCTCGCGGCCAGTGATACTGGCCTTCCAGCTAAGGCAGGGCTTCTCAGCGCCGGCACTGCTGACGTCTGGGGCTGGGTAAGTCTCTCCTGTGGGCTGTCCTCGCACATTCTAGGAGATTAAGCAGCAGCCCCTGGCCTCACCTACCAGACACCGGGGGCCCCTGCTCCCCCAGCTGTGACCAGCAAAAATGCCTCGTCCGGACATGTCAGATGTCCCCTGGGAGGCTAAACCAGCCGAGAGCAGGAAGAACTGCTAATCTAAACAAATTTTCCTTCCAAAATAAATTTAAGTAAAAAGAGTAAGTTGTTGGAAAAGAAAAGGCTGTGTAAACAACAGTGCCAGCTTTCTGGCCAGGCGGAGAGGTGGCGTGTGGATGCGCACCAGGCGACTGCCCAACACGCAGTGCTCGGCCTGCAGTGCTCTTATCATTACTGATTCTGCTGTTGTTGAGAACTGGGAAGGCCAAGGTCCACCTGCCCCCGGCGCTCCCCACCGTGAGCACTCACCTTTGGGTTTTCGTGCCTGACCTCTTCGATCACAGTTATGTCGCTGCTGCTGTTCTTCATGCTGCGGGAGCTGAAGGACACGCCAGGGTCTGAGGAGGAGCTGGTGTCCTGAAGGCTGTCCCGGCTCACAGAGCTCTGGCAGGGTTGCTCCTCAGCCACTCCTAGGGAGGAAGGCAGCTGCTTCTTCGGGGGGTGGAGGTTTCCGACTTTCCAGCCGCCTGCAGTGAAGGGGTGGTGGGGAGCACGACTGAACTGCGGCCCCATCGAGGGACAGAGAGAAGGGCACTTCTGCTCGGCAGCCGGACCAGCCCCCTGCAGGCCCAGGATTCCATGGGGTTGGCTGGAGGACTTGGGTACATGCCTCCCCGCTGCCCCACTACCCTGCTCAGCTGGATGCCAGACTCCACCCTGCATGTGTTTCCAAAAGTTCTAACTGAACTAAAAACTTGAGGGGGCCTCAGATGGCTGGAGGAAGGGGACAGAGGAAGCTGAGTGGATCCCATCCCTTTACTAGTGAAAACACAACAGAGAAACTGAATATTGGCCAAGGAGAACTGACTCGCAAGCAGCCAGGAGACAGACTATGTGATCGTCTCCTCCAAACTTAGGGATTACGAGATCACGTGACACCAACAGGTCCCCAGTTAGGACAGCACCAAGGAGATCCTCGGGTGTCTGCTAAACTGAACGGGCTGTTTTCTGAAGATCGCCAGCAGCTCAGATGGAGGGCACACATGTCCCCCAGCCTTGCCCGCCCTCTCCCCAACCCCGAGGGCACCCCCTTACCCTTCGCCGAGGCAGAGTGATGAGGCTGGGCCCCAAGACTGGCGTTCGAGCAGGACTTCCCGTCACTCTGGGATCCTCTGCCTTTCCTCTTGCTGCTGCCCTCCTCCTCGCTATCGGACTCAGAGAGGAAGGTGTCCTCCCCTTCAGGCACGAGTGACTCCTCCTGCACCGAGGCCAGGCTCACAGTGGTTAGCAGCTGGCTCCGGGCTTTCTCCCTTTTGTACTGTCGGCTCAGATCGCTCTCTTCTGCAAACACGCAGGAGATGTACTTGGTGGTCCGCTGACGCCCTTCATCTTCCATGAACCCCTGGAAGGGATGAGATGTATTCGGTCACATCTGGAGGGAGCGACAATACTCACGCACGTGGGTGAGCTAGGGGCTGCAAGGGCTGCTTCCTGATCTTTCCTGCACCTGCTCTGTCACCCCCACGGGCCCCGCATTGGCCCCACGGATGTTCCCTCCCTGTCTTCCTGCCTGGGCATCTCTTAGCTGCTGCTTCCACAGGCCTGTTGGAGATGATTTTCCCCACTGCCATCCTGCACGTGCGTCTGCTCTATGGGACCGTGAGCTCCCTGAGGGCAGGGTCCTAATTTGGCCCTCCCTACCTCCCCAGTGCCCGGCACAGGACTAGGCCCACAGGAGACGGTTTGGGAGCAGTGAGTGTTAGCTATGTAGGGTTCAAGGGTTCAGAAATGTTGTCATGGACTGGAGGTCACCAGTTCCATGTGGTCCCTGCCTTGGATATGGAGAATGAGGCTATCCCCTACCCACACTCATTCTTATCTTCCAGAACAGGGGAAAAGGGGCTCCCCAGGGCCCTTAACGGTAGGAAGAGCAACATCATCTATATGCCAAGCTCATGCCGAGGCACACGTCACGCACTCTGCAATCATCAGCTCAACTGTAATCATGCCTCCCAGCAAATCCGTCCAAATATTGGCAAGAAGAGAGGGAATGATAAGGGCTGGAATGCGGGCACGAATTCCTAAAGGGGACCAGCAAACACATACGGTCGGCCAACCCACTGCCCCCAGGAGCCAGGCAGATGGCGAGAGAGAGGGTGGCCTGAGTGGGGGCCAGGGCTCCTGGACAGCACCTGCTTTGACTGAAGGGGCTGTAAGAGGTTAGCCAGCCTCCTGGGAGCCCCCACACGGCTATGCCCTCTACGCGGCCAGTCTCCTCCTGACTTTTCAGGGCTGAAGTCTCATTCTGTTTTTAAAATGGGAAACCGACACCAACCAGTGTCAGGGAGTGGCCTGTGGACAGCCACCTGCAGCTGAGACGGGCTGAGACAGCCCTGGGCTAGCACACCCCGCCTGTGACCAGACACAATGAAGCAGACACGTGACTCGCCATGTTACCTTGACAACCTTGAACCTCTGAAGAAGACGACACAGCATTCTGGCTTCCAGCTTTCCCACGTTCATAGCCACTCGGATTTCAGCTTGGGAAATGCCTTTCGTGCCTCTGCGCTCAACTGTGGGAAATGAAAATGTGTGAGCCGCAGGCTCTGCGAGGGCGCCCGCCCACACAAGGCCAAGTCTGCTCCCGCCACCTCGGGAAGCACAGACTCGTCCAAGTGCTGAACCAACATGCAGAATAAAGTCTATGTCCCCTCTCTCCCTCCCCTGCCAAGAGCCTCTGAGCCCTCCTTCCAAAATGCTTCAGTGCAGCCTCCCCCACCTTAGAGCCACAAATGCCAAGTGTCCGGCTGTAGGTGCACTTGGCTCCGGGCGACCTCGCTTTTGCCCGGCAACAGGGAGCTCACTCTTTCACATGGACTTTTCCAGATCCGTGAAACGGATTCTTTTTTTTTTTTTTTTAATTGTTTTTAATTAAGAACTTTTTCCATTTCCCTGGCCTTCTGGGCAGACTTAGATGCATTCCGAACACCACAGCCAGCAGTGTCCCGTAACGCCAGTGGGGGTGGAGGGGGGCAGAGTGCCGCGGGGCCCCGTGGTAAGCGAGCGGCCCGCGACTGTGCTTTATCATCTGCTCCGTCTACTTTGTCAGCTCCTGCCCTGCTACATGCTGTCACTGTCTGTGCCTCCGAGAAGCCCTCCGAAATCTACTCAGTGGCTCTGGGACTGGGAACTCCACGACGGAGCCTGGCAGGCATGGGGGCAGGGGCGCCCCCGGCGCCCCCCCGACCCCCAGTAAAGTACATGAACCACAGGGCAGGCTTGCCAGCAAAGGTCTGTATTCAGAAATAGTTGCCCCTTTATTTCCTCCTACGGTACCCTCCTGAGGCTGCCAGGTACGAGCCATCTGGACAAAGGAGGGCGTGCAGCCTTGAACTTGCACAAAAATAAACGTCAGGATGAAAGGGAGGGGCGGCTGGGCGGCTCAGTCAGTTGAGCATCAGACTCTTGATTTCGGCTCCAGTCATGATCTCAGGGTTGTGAGATCGGAGCCCCAAGTTGGGGTCCACACCGGGCATGGAGCCTGCTTGAGATTCTCCCTCTCCCTCTGCCTCTTCTTCCCCCACCCAGCCAAGGGCACACTTAAACGCTTTCTTTCAAAAAAAGAATCAAAAGAGGGGACTAGGATGTGTCACCATATCGAACCAGTAACCTGCTCAACGTTGGCATAGGAAGGTTGAGGATAACTTTTCCCAAAACGTGTTCTGAGGAACCCATTTGGAGGGATATTAAGAGTTGATTTTAAGAAGTGCCAAGAAAAGCCCCTCAGAATGTCTGTGCCGATTCCCCAGCATTTCTTTGTACTGGCTGCCAACCTGCACTCTGTGGCCACCGTGCCTCCTCCCCTGCCCTCCTCCCCACGGGGACCCGGGGCCACCCCGTCTACGGCTCCGGGTCACTGGTGTCTTCAGCAGATTCTAGGGAATCCAGGGGAAGGGCGAGGAGTGGGGAGAGATGCTTTTCTCCCCACTCCTCACCAGCCTCCGAGCCTGCAGTAAGTCTGGATAGATCTCAGGAGACGCAAGCTAGCTCTTGAATGTCTGTGTTGTAGTATTAAGGGCTCAGCTTCTTCGTGCCTTCCACGGAGGGCCCCGCTCTGACGTCCTATTTCTGCTCCTCCTCAGCCCCACTCACGTGCTGGGTGCAGAGCATCCCCAGATCACGGATGTGGGAACGGAGGCTCGGGACCTTGCTGCCGTCCTACAGAGCAACTACTCACACTCAGATCCGACCCAAAGCCTGACCCTTCCGGGGAACCACGGGGCTCCCTGCCACCGCCCAGTCTCAACCACACGCCCTCTTCTTCGCGAGCCCTGGTCTGCGGTGCGCGGGACCGACACGCCAGCAGGCACGCGCGCAGGGGACCTACTGAGTTCGTAGGTCTGCGTGAGCATGTCCCGCTCGTACACAATGTCCACCGGGGGCACTCCCTTGGAGATGACCTCCTCGTCCTCATCGTCGTCCTGGTCATGGTCGTCCTCAACCTTCCGTTTGAATTCCTTCAGCAGCCTGAGGCAGCGCACCATGACATCCGTCCCTAGGAACGCAACACGGCATGGTTTCCAGCAAAGAGCAGAACACTGCGGGTGGCGGGGGGGGGGGGGAAGGGGGAGGGGGTAGGGGACACAGCTGAGACAGAAACCCAGAGAAAGGACCAAGTTCAGAATATTGAAAATAGCACGTCCTGGGGCACGAGACCTGAATGTGTCCTCCATAGAACCGTTTTTTGTTCCCTGTAATTAGTAAACAAGGAAATACAAATGAGAGGAATAATGAGACGCTGTGTCAGTCCTATTAAGCAAACAGCGGACTTCTCCTGCTCGAGACAAGCTCTGTGACGATGGGCAAGTCTGCCTGTCCACGCCAGCTACCCAGCACCGGCACCTGGCACACGAACAGCATTGCTGAAAGGGGAGACCCACTGCCAGTAAGTTGCAGCAGCACCGTGGATGCGTTCTAGAACCCTCTGAGGGCACTGCTGGAAGGCTTTCACCAATGATGCCAAGAGTGGGAATTTATCCCAAGAAAACTCCAGAAGGAAGCAAAAGCTGCCAGCCCAAAGAGGTCCACACAACACTGTGCGCTAGCTTTCTGGAACCACACAAACAATGAGGGACTGAGTGGTGGGGTGCGGGCCAGCGCGGCCCTTCAGACACGCACGGTGTGCCACACCCAACCCACACAAGCACCATGCGAGAAAAGTAGCCAGCTTGGGCCATGGCTATACCGAGAGAAGTTGCAAGGGAGAGCAAAAACATCTCAACACTTTACTGGTTATGAACTCACTCGTGTGATCCTGACAGTCTCAGGAGGCATTTTACAGACAGGGAAACTGAGGTACAGAGGATGACATGACTTGCCCATGCTCTCTAGAGCTTGTAAGCAGCGGGGGCAAAGGTACTCAGGCAGGGTCACAGGTCTCCACTGTGAAAGAAATGAACCTGCACCAGGAGGTCCTAGGACAGAGGAGTGCGGGGGCAGAAGAAGGGCCCCTCGAGGGTGGCCATGCCCTGCTACCTGGAACCTGTGAAAACGTGACCCTGTATGGCAAGAGGGACTTGTGGGCATGAGTGAGTTAAGGCTTTTCGCTGTGGGGGTGGTCTTAGTCCGGAGAATCCGGGTGGGCCAACGTCAGAGTCCTCAGAGAGGGAGGCAGGAGGATCAGAGCGAGAGTGGAGGATGCCAGGCCGCTGGCTTTGAAGAGGGAGAGAGCAGGGGCCAAGGCAGGCAGGGGCCTTGTAGAGGCCAGAAATGGACAGGAAGCGGGTTCTCTCTGGAGAGCCTGCTGAAGGAGTAAAGCCCTGCCAGTATCAAAGGTTTAGCCCTAGGACACCCATCTCAGACTTCTGCAACTCTGAAATCATAAAGCTGGGTCATTTGTAGTCACTAAGTCTGCAGTAACCGTTAGCACGGGGATGCTGACGGTTTCTCCACCCGGACACCGAGGGGTATAATCCAGGTACCAGTGCCAAGTGGGGGCACAATAAAGCTGGTCTCTGTTTCCCAGCCATCTTGTGCAGGAGCTGTGGCCTCCGAGGGCCTTCCTGAGCACTGCAGACTGACCTCTGAGTAAGGTCAGGTACGAGACCCCAAGTGGGGAAGGGGAGTCTCATGGGGGGCAGAGCATGCGGATTGCAGGTGAAATTCACAAACAGCGATGCATCTCAGGGCCCCGAACTCATCAGACTTACCCTCGGAGGAGGGTCCGGCCAAGGCCGATCCACCAGAACCCTCCTAGAAGGCAGGCCTGGGGCAAATGGTCACAGAAGTGTGGGAAGCCTCAGACACCGGTCTGGTGCTGATTTGCCTGCACTCCTCGCGGTGATAGCAAATCCCCCCGGTTTGTGATTTTTCAAGAGAAGAAACATGACGTCACAGCACTGGCTTCCTCAAGCCTTTGCTCCCTCCACGCCTGCCAGGCCCTCTCAGGTTTTCTTGCTTCCCAGGGCTCTGCCCTTTGCTTGGGGCTCTGGCCCTGCTCTCTCCCTCTCCAGATGGAAGCCTAAAGGAATGGGGAGGGGAGGCATGGTGATGAGGGGGAGACTTGGGCCTGTCTGTGTGGGTGAAAATTACTTTAAGGCTCAAGTGACCACAGGATTGGATGTTTCACTGGTATTTCCTCCTAGGAGTGAGCACACCCAGCACATAGGCAGAACACCAACCACCAAGTCATTCCCCACTCGGACTTCCCCCACTGTTCTCTACCCAAGGCCCTCCCAGGCCTCTCAGCCCCCAGGTGCCCCTCTTGCCTCTCAGACAATGCTCCTAGAGTGACCGCCCGCTCCCAATGTTAAAACTATTCCCATCGCTTGAACACACGCAGCGTGCCGGACACCGCTTGAAACTCTCTGTGTGTTTCATACAAGCTGGTCCTCCCCGCAGCCCGAGCAGGTGGCCACTACCATCCCGTTTCCCGCTTGAGGTCACCGGGAGCGAAGGCATTTGCCTGAACTCCCGCTCCTTAGCAAGGGAGAAGCTGGGATTTACCAGGCTGTCTGTCTCCCGAGCCCAGGTCCCCAACCATGGACAACATACGGCCCCTAACGCAGAGGCATCGTGTGACTGAGCACAGCGGGTGACCTGGGGCCGGGGACGCAGGCTTCTTCGGGGGCGGTGGCCCAGGGCAGCATGTAGGGGACACAGACCGGCACACCTCACCAACAGCCAGGCGTTCTTTCTCCCATCCCGTTTTAGCTTCCTTACGAGCTGAACTGGCCAAGGAGAGATACACAGGGTGGCACGGACATCAATCAGCACAGGGGGCGGCGGCGAACGGCCATGACAAACTCGTGGGTCAGAAGGGCAAGGAAGGAAGGCCCTCTTGGCCTTCCCAGCTTCTGCTCCTCATAGCAGCATCAGGTCGGCACCTGAGCTCTGCTCCGACAGCACGCGATGCCTGTCCCCAGTCACAGCCTCAGGAACGGCCTCGTCCCAATGGCCCCGCCGCTGCCTCTGCTGCCTGCCAGGATGGCCGGACCTTCAGGGGAGCATTGGGAGGAAGTGGGGCTCCAGGGTCAGGCAGACATGGGATGGACACAGGGCATCTCAGCTCTACAACCACTAGTTTCAGAGACTCTGGGGAAGTGACTGAGCAGAGCTCCTTGCATTCCACTTAACAAAATGAGAGGCTGGTGTTCTCCATCTCATGCCCAGAGAAGACGCCCATGCAGAGGCCGGCACAGAGCAGTCAGCTGGCCCGAGCAGCGGGTACCTGCCGCATCACAGGCCTTACGTGAACTGACCCTTAGATCGCACAGTCCGAAGCTGGGGACCCCCAGAAACCCCATTGCACAGGCGAGTCTCCAGCATACTTTCAATGGAGGGTTTGGCTCAAGCCACTCAGACTGCGCTCAGCACGAGACCGCTGTGCTTCCAGAAGGCCAGGCAGGATGCATCCTGGCAGGATGGCTGCTGGGGGGGTTAGGGGCCATGGGTGTGCAGCTCTGTCCATCCCACACAGCAAGGCTGATTTCCCTGCCACGAGTCCCAAAAGCACTGACTTTCTCCTAGAGCCTTCAGACAAGGAAACCCCCATCATTTAACCAAGCTAAGGAGAATGTCTAGCCTCGTGGGGTTATAGGGAGAATTGTTAAGACCTGAGGCCGGTGGAGGAGGCAACACCGGGTAGTCTGTGGCTCATGGCTCCAAGGAGCCACTGGGAATGAGTTTCGCCAGCCTTCCATACCTTTCCCGTGGCTCTGGAGGTTTACCAGCCCCAGAATTCCAATTTTTATTCTTGGGATCCCTTCGGCTCATATTTGGCTATTTTTAAGGCAATTTAAAGGAGCCTGTTCCAGACTGCAAGTCAGCAAAAGCCGAAGCAGAAGGGGCCGGAGCGAGACCCCAGGCAGCACACACCCACAGGGCAAACAGAGCCCATGGGTCTGTCCGAACGCCCACCCTGGCGACCAGCCACGCTTGCTGGAGGAGTCACAGGCCTGTTAATGGCACCCACGGATGCCTGGGCACAGGGCTTACTTCCCAGAACAAAAGGCAAGGCAGAACCAGCCAGATCACTGCACTCAAGCGTTTTAAAGGTAGAAGTGTGCACTAATGTCCATGGTTCCACACAAATCAAGCACACGGTTCTGTTGTGCCAAAGATCCAGGATGGGCTCGCTGTGGCACAAAGGAAGAATGGCTTCATTTCGATGCACCGAAGAGCCAGAAAGAAGGGAAGGGGTGAATCCTTCCTGAGAACCCAGGGTGTGGCAGGTGATTTCAGAAGCTATTTTAATCATGTGCGGATTCTGCATATGACACCTGCCGTCTTACGAGAAAGGAAAACAGGTTCAGAGGGTTCATGTGGCCTATTGGATATCCTGGACCTAGAAAGTGGCCCTTCTCCCACGCTGGGCAACCTGTCTGGGCTTGCAACGTCTAGTTTCTATCAGAAAACACCATTCTCTGTAAAGGGAAATCCTAAGCGGACATAAAGTGGGACCAACAGCCTGTGTTTCTCACATTTCCAGCCAAGATCTCACCTGGCCACCTAGCAGACTGGTGCTCTCAATGTGATGAACCCAGGAGAAAACAAAAACAGGATGAAACAAATGAGCACCATGCCAGATTTGCTCTTGAAGTCACCCATGAAGGGACAGTCCTACTGGTGAGCCAGGGAGAGGTTATGTAAATTCAGTTTTACTCCCGTCCTGCTACCCACCCCCCACACACCCCTAGATGGGCCTGGGGTTTTCAGTGCTAGGGTGTCATTCAGGTAGTCTGGAAACTGGAACGAGAAACCAGCCCATGGGACAATCTAAGGAGGTAAGGGCTCTGGGTAACTGCTGGACACAGAATTCAGGGCTGCACTCCTAATGAGGGAGGCTGCTGCGGCCCAGACACCAGAGTGATAGAACTGGTTAGAAATCTGGGCTCTGGGGACCCCTGGGTAGCACAGTTGGTTTGCTTAGGTCATGATCTCTGGGCTGAGATGGAGCCCCGCGTTGGGCTAAGCGTTTGGAGCCTCAGTCTTTTTCTCTGTAAAATGGACATAATCCTAACAGCGTGGCTGAACTCACCTGCTGGGAAGGACCTG